AAAGAAGTTTCTCTCCCACTGTTTCATTAGTTTCAAATATTGGGCTCTCCAAAAAATGCACGGATGTCCAATGCCTTCAGTTGAGAAATGGATTTTCGATTGCGACGTTACAATTGTACCTCTCGATTGTATTTTTTTTTAAAAAACGACGAAACAATTTTTTTTTTTTTTTTTTTAAAGAAAAATCTATGATTTTTCTATTGTTAGAAAACTTTCTTGGAAATATTTGTGTTGACAAAATCAAACAATTTCGGAGATTTTAAAACGGTTCAATGGAGATATCTACACATTTTTCGACTTTGGTCATCGATATGGCAAGCCGTCGCTTCGCTTCCCAGATAAAAGAACGTAACCATATTTGGATTACATTTTGCACTAAGGAACCACTATCTCTGGCTCTTCTGTAAAAACACCTTTCTGCATAGGGAAACCGGATGGCATATATGTTGTTTCTATAATGAGCCAGAAATAGTGGTTCCTTATTGCAAAATGTGGTCCATTTCAACTTCGCAAAACTTCTACTCGAGCACTGTATCTTTAGTAGGCCATTGTTAGAAAATGATAATAATTGTGGGATCGCTGTAGGGAAATGATAATTTCCCTGATTTTTTCTAGAAATATCACCCGCGAAAATCAGGAACATTTCGGACAGGTTTTTCTCAATCATGTTCTCGTAAAATACATAATTCCCAGTTAGTTTTGCAACCTTGGAATGGAGTTACGTCGTCCGGGAAATGACGACGCATCACTCTCATATAATTTTGGCTCCACTGTTTTGAAAATGCATGCGGTCAGGGGGCTATCGGCTATCGGCTATCGGCTATCGTATGTATCGACTTTTTTTTTTATCTCGGGTTGGGCTGACATCCCTCCCCCCACCCACCCGTGGCAATCCGACAACTGCGGTTTTGATCGAATGAAGCCGTATATGTGTATCTGTGTGGGCAGAGGACTGGGAGAAGAGCGTAGATGATAGTAGAACGGGTGCGCCGCGCCGTGCATGGATTCATTATTCATGTTCATTTGATGTACTGCTAATGGGATTCCTGAGAGGTTTTAGTTTTTAGTGCTCGACTTTTCCACCCAGGAAGCGCCACCCGTGCCATTTGTATTTAGAACCTCTATCGAAAACCTCGATCGGTGACAATGACCCAGTGACGTCATCGAGCACACTTAAAAATTTGTCGAGGCTGCACTCGGGCCTTTTTTATAGTATTCCTGGAAGAAGATTAATTTCAAGCTTTTATCGTGGTATGAAATTTATTCGATGGTGCATTTACTATTTCTTAGATTTTTGCGAGAAAAATCGTCCATAGCGATGTCAAATATGGAAATTACGTACAAAGTGGCCTCCAAAAGTCAAAAAGTCAACTCATGATCACCCGTTATTGCGTTCTGCCGCAATCACACGCTGAATGTGGCTTGAATGTGGAAGTCATCGGCCCGATGCCTGAATTTTGCGCGAACGTTTTTCAGCAACCATCGGAAAGTGTCGGATTTGTCTGAACTATTCGAATAGATTTGATACACATCTGGATGAAAATAAATCGAATTTGCAAAATTTCAGCTGCTGCGCGATGGTTGTTGACTTCCATATTCAACTGCTAAAGTCAGTGTGTGATTCCGGCATTTACTCTCATTACGTCGCTCCTGCTGTGACGTAAGGGCGTATCTCAATTTTCACTTGAACCCTGTCTCGCATGTACATTCATGCTCTCTGGGGCTCATGCGAAAATCGAGATGCGCTGTTACGTCACTATGAGTGGTAAGAGAATCGAAAGTCTCGATGTGATGGTCTCTTTCTCCTACGGAGCTTTTCAAAAGCTCAACATTTATCTTATTATCAGCTATTGTCTTAAAACGAGGTCGTAAGTTTTCGAAAAGACAGGAAAGCTAATTTTGTCGATTAACCCCGGCATTTTACGTTTTGTCCGCACATTCAGAATCAACTCCTATTCACGAGATTCCAGCTAGGGGTTGAGGCTGGATTTGAATGAATTTTCCACCCCAACATCAATGTATTTAGGAAACAATGCCAAATCGATGAGTCTTTGTCGTATGCACGATGTTTCCGTGAACTTGGTCCACGGATTGACCTGTTCCTCTAAACACCAGCAAGAATTGCATTTTCTCTAAGAGCCACCACCTGCATGTTTACGAAAGTGGAAAAGAGTTAAGTGATTGGTTCGGGGGTTTCTCCCCCATCTTTTCGTGGCTCGTCTCTCATTCACTGAAAACAATTAAGTTCGATCTTATGAACCAGAGTTCAGCGTTCCATTTCGATCCGACAGCTTGGTTTGGCAAACAAAGCTTGTTACTAAACATTCGATCTGTGTAACTGCACCTTGTTTTTTTCAGTTAACGCTCGGTTTGACGAACCGTAAGTTCGGTTCATGAATCGAAGACATTAATCAAAATGGTCGAGCGAATTACTTCCTCTGATAAAACTTTTTTCGTTATTGTCCTCTACTCTAATACCTCTCCTTTTTACGCGATAGAAAAATTCAGATGGTTTTTTATCGTACCTTCGACTGACCGTCATAAATGTAAGTTATGCTTAGTGTCGTGTCAATTTTATTTTCTTTCTAATTTTTCAGACAGTTTTATTCTGAGTCCTATTGAAGATACTTGAAAATGCCATCGAAGAATATTCTTAATTCTCCACGAAAATAATAATTTAATCGAGGGAACTTTCGTGACATTCAAATGTCCTTACGGCTTTTTGCGCAGCACTCCAGCTCATTCCGGTTCAATTTCATTTCATTTCAAATTTTCATTCTCAATCCATTTTCTCGCTCATCGCATTGTGAGATACCGCAGGTCCCAAATAGAGCAATAAGTGCAGAAATGAAGTATTGAGTAAATGGACCTAAGTTTAATGCAATCAGGAAATTTTGTGGACAAATCCTCGGTTTCTCGTAAAATTGTCAGTAAATTAGACTCGTCTAATTTCGCAGGAAACTCGGTTTCGGAAATTCGAGCGTTATTGCTCTCCCGGTGTGACGCGCCGCGGCGCGGCGTCAGCCGACCGCAGCGGGTCTTCCAACACACACTGAGGGCACAGGGTACACCGAGGGCACCGTCAGTTTATGACGAGTGAGTCGTGGATCGTGGTTCCGCTCTCGTTTACCGACGGTAGAGGGGGGCAGCAGAAAGGGGGGGGGGGCTCCTGCTCTCGCGAGTGCATTAGCATAAATGAGGCTTATTCAACATGGCGTAGTCGGCCGCGAATAATCCGCAAACTGCAACGAAACGTGCACCGAGCCCCCTCTCCGCTCCACCTCGGTGCCCCCTCCACCCCCTTCCTGCCTCTCATAAGAGGCTCCAGTATCCCTTGCCCCCTCCTTTTTCTATCGAACAGATCCCGCCGCCCAGTTTAATAGTGTTTTTTTTTTTTTTTTAAATACATACGAGGGATTTTTTTTAAATACATATGAGAGGTTTTTTTTAAATACATATGAGGGCTTTTTTTTAAAATACAAATAAGGTTTTTTTTAAATACATACGAGGGTTTTTTTTAATACATATGAGGGAATTATTTTTTTAAATACATGTGAGGGTTTTTTTTTCAAATATATATGAAAGGGGTCCTTTTTTTAAATACAAATGAGGGTTTTTTTCTCAAATACATATGAGAGGGTTTTTTTTTAAATACATAGGTATGAGGGTTTTTTTTAAAATACATATGAGGTTTTTTTTTTTTTTAAATACCTATGAGGGGCTTGCAGGACAAGGCGCATAAGTGCAGGTTTTACTATTTCGAGTAACACATGTTTGAAGTTTCGCAATTACATGGATCTTTATGTCGGAAAAAAAAGTTCAAACTGACTTTTTGAGTTTTAAAAGTTGGAATCTGAAAGCGAATTTTTCACAGATTATGCATCAAGAGTAGTTTTACTTGAATTTATTGATATCTCAATTTTTTTCAAGAACTGCGCTTATGCGCCTTGTCCTCCAAGCCCCTCATGTATCAGGTGAGCGATGAAGTCCGCAAAGTATTTTGATGTTTGAACTTTAACGGAATTCATAATTGGACCGCGTCAAGCAGAAAGGAGCCAAGCCACATCAGCTATTGTCTTTAACTAGGCAATTAATTTTTTACACGAAGACGGTTGTGCGGATTTTTTTTTGCAAATTCAAGTGAACTTTTTGCACCATACGAAGCGAGTCCTCAAAAATTTCAAAAAAAATCCGCATAACGCTCTCTTTCAATAAATTAAATTTGGCAATAGCCGATGGGGCTCGGTTCCTATCAGTAAAAACGCGGTCCAATTCAGCCCAACCGGCTTGAATGGGTGGAGCCACGTTGTCGTGCTAAGGAAGAACGGCGTATGAACATTCGAGAGTTGCCAAATTTCCTCCGATAAAATGTCTCCTTTGAGGAACGCTATGAATATTTTTCGTTTAAATTTTCAGGAACTTTTGATGAAAGTGTGAACAAAATTATCTGGAAAATTGGGAGAAAAATGTCCACAAGCTTACCAGGAAATTTGTGTTTTATTAAAGGAAATCCGGCAACTCCTGAAGGTTCATACTTTTTTTTATTGTGTAAACAAATACAATCTAATACAATGACATGTTCAGTCACTTTTACACGTTTTCTTAATTATTAACGTACTTACAAGCAGTGGCGTGGCGTGAATTGCGATGTATCGATTGTTATGCCATTTAAACGTATAGTAAAGAATCGATTATTAAGGTGTTCGCTGCGAACACCCTGTTTATCGATCCTTACCCATAGGTTTAAATGGCATAACAATCGATATATCGCAATTCACTCCACGCCACTGCTTACAAGATAGATATTATATTACTTTGCAACTTTTAAAAGGTGAAGGTTCATAAAGCGTTTTTCCCTAACACGGTAGCACGGGCCTCGTTGTTTTCAAGTTCGGAGCTCAAGCTTTGCCATCTGCATCGATGGCGGTATTTACTTGACTTTTAGGCGCAAACTTAATATTGTAATGCAAGACTGAGCCTCGTGGATTCTTTGTTTGCAGGAGGGAGCTCAATACCCGTGGGAATCGCCGTGGCCCGACAGCGCCAGCAGTCGGACTCGAATGTAAATATCGCTCCCGATCTGAGGTCGAGGAATCGGTCCCTGGCCACCAGGCTCAAAGACAATGCCACCGATGTCCCCAACCTGCCCGCCATGAGTAAGTATCCACACCATGTTTTCGTCCGAGTCAAGGACTTTAAATAAAGGGTTTTTTTCTTCCTATCTAGTTTTTCATCGTATTAAACCCAAACCGAACTTCCGATAGGGCCATGAAGCTCTTCACAGGGCTGCCACAGTCAGGGAATACCGGGAAATGTCCGAGAATTTCAAAAAGTCAGGAAAAATTGTGAAATGTTAGGGAATTTTAAAAAGTTAGGGAAAACCGGGAAATGCCAGGGAATTTTAAAAAGTCAGGAGAAACCAGGAAATGTCAGAGAAAATGACGCCAATGTCAGGGAAAATGACGAAATTGTCAGGGAAAATTTGTTATTTATTTGCATTCGAAATGGGTTTGAGGTTTTGAACAATAAATGCCTGAAAACTATTTTCAATTGTGTCTTCTTAACCACTTATCATATCTTCAATTTTCAGGAAATTTCATCAAAATGTGTCAGGGAAATGTCAGGGAATTTCATTTTCTAAATTCTGTGGCAACCCTGTCTTTAGCAGTCTAACTTGAAGAAAAATCAGTCCCGATAATTTAAAGCAGATTTTGTACACAGACTTAATTATTACTTTTTTTTTTTTAGAGTTAGTCGACTTTTTGCTTCAAATTGTCTATCAAATATTTAATTCACGAATTGTTCGTGGAATGGAAAAGAGGTTCTAATGCTCCTTTGGAGGTTCATAACTGCATACACACTCCTTTCTTTGGTTACCAAGCCTTGTATTTTTTTATTCAATATTCTGAAAGCACCAGGTAAATAGATCACATGGTGCATTTTTGGAGCCAAAATCCCGGACAAGCCCGCTTTTAAAAAGTTCAAAGACTCGAAGGAATTTCAAACGTGCCGGAACATCGGGAAAATGATGGAACTGGTGTATGTACTACGGCAGTCAAATTGCTATCTCCTCTCATTTTCCACTGATGTTTGTCAAAATAAAACGTATTTCAATGTGAAATTGTTGCTTGTTTACCAGAGACAACATAAGTAGGATTCAATCATTTTATTCTGAAGGTTTAGTTTCGAATTTTCTTTTTATTTCATTTAATCGGAGTATAGAAAGACATTTGACGGAAGTCGTGGAAACCCGTGATCGCTCTTGATTGGTGCCGGATGACATCATCTGGTTCGGCGCGAAACCGGGGCGTTTTAAATTTGCGGAAAAGTTGCGCTATTTGAACTTCGTATTTCTCGTTTTCTGAATAACTCTTTCGCATTTTTAAGGTGCGCGTCGTGTTCTACGACGTCTTTTAACTATAGCCAACATATATTCGCCAGTCAAAATTCGTACATACTTTAGTGACCCATTAAGTAACTAATTATTTACTCTTATTCTGGGGTGGAGGGGGGTTTGGGAGTAGGATGAACCCCATATTCTCATCCATAAAACCTACTAGACTTGCCCTTATTTTTGATTGATTGTGGTTACCCTGAGACTGAAGATATTCGGTGATAAGATACCTAAAATTTTCCGAGGGTTTCTGTAAGTAGGTATGATAAAGTCTCTGTTTTTTTTTTAAACAGTTAGAGGGACTGAACGTAAAATATTTTTACATCCTTCATGTCTGGTTTGTTGAAGCCGTAACTTCGTACCTTCTCTTCACATTAGAAGTAATTTAGATCGTTTTCTTTTTCTCATTTCAATTTTTTTCTCTTACATATCAAGCTGTTTAATCTTTCAATGACTTTTTTGCCAATTTTTCGATCAATTTCTGTGTCTTTCTGTGTTCACAAACTATGAACGATCATTTGCTTATTGCAGCTGTTCTGTCCTGTGAAGACCACTCGACAAATAGTTTTTCCACTTGGTCTCCTCAACCGCTACCTCAATGGCAATATCCATCAGGTGAGTTTTAAAATTCGTATACATTCAATAATGATATCCGTGAAAGATGAGTACAAGTTTCAAACTTCCTATATTTTTTATTCAGTAGCCTCATTGAATGAGAAAGGTCCTACCATAAGTTCATTTTGTTTTTGGTGTTTAATGAAGTCTATGTACTCACTGCATTATATGCAATGTCTTTATTACTTTTTTTGTAAAATTTTATGTGGACACAATTTGCTTACCTGCATCTGTAATATTTTTAATTTTCTCCCTAAAAACTTCTGGAGGGATTGTGGATTCAAAACGGGAAGAATATAATGATTCTTAATTTCTCGAAATTCTTTTCTTTATATATTGAGGGTAATAAGTTCTCAAAATAAATATTTTAATTATAAGTACACTAGGAACAACAGTGAAACGCCTAGTGTTGCCTGGATGAGAAATCCTAAATTGTTTCCAGCAAATTTGTACCTAGATTACTTTATTAACTTCAATTTTCAGCTGTGCCCCTGGAGCAACCTCTTCCTTTTCACCCTCCTGTTGGATTTCAGCTAGCCAGAGATTCCGTCAGTGGGCAATTTCTATTGATACCTCCAACTCAGCCGAATTTAGGTTTGTTCATTTTATTTTCCGTTTTCTTTACCTTTTTCTAGCTGATAGAATTTCATGTTTCATATCAAAGTATCCTCATCCAAAATTTAAAAAAGAAAAAGAATAATAGAAGCCTCAAATGTAATACAATGGATCGATGCATATATTTTAATGATATCTAAATAAGAATTTAGTTATTTTTCAAGCTCTCTATTCAATATGATACATGAAGTGGCAATTGGTTTATTTCCAGCTAGGCAATAGTTCTCAACTAGATTTTAAGAAGGTTTAATGACTGATGGAAGCCTTGATAAGCAACCTGTCCAGGGTAAAATTGTGGCATCTCAGATGAAGCCATGAGAGTATGGAACCCTGTCTCTTGCGACATGTTTTTATCTGGTAATTTAGAGCAAAAGCTGAATATTTGCTTTTTGCACAGTACCGTACTGTCTAGTTTGTGTGTCTCCATTCTTAAATCCTTTTGTTCACTAACCAGCAATGCATCAAAATGAAAATCTTAAATTCAAGAGTTCTACGCTCTTCCTAGCCAAGTCCCATTTTTTTTAGTTAACCTGCTATGTTTGTTTCAATCGGCTATTTTGGATGAATATTTCAGCCCATAGGTGCTAGAGGGTATCGAAATCACATTTCTTTCCTTAGTACTTATGTCGTGCATTTTTCCTCTAATATAGCGCATTCTCCTGAGTAAGGGAGCTGAAGTAAAGTATTTCACTTGATTCTTCCCATAATAAGAATTGAGGTTTTATCAGGCTTTTTTAGGCTTTTTTTGGATACTCTCGAAAAAGGAAGGAAAATACAAACTCGTGTCTGCTACAAATGCCAGTATGAATGAACTGTAGACAAAATCCAGACCCTGTGTGTGAAGTTACCTTTAATTGGCCCGCGTTTAACAGAAAGGAACCAAGTTACATCAGCTATTGCCAATTTTAACTGGGCAATTTAATTTTTTACGAGAAAACGTTTGTGCGAATCCCTTTGAAAATGTTGAGGAATTTGCTTTGTACTATGGAGAAAATTCACTGAAATTTGCACGAAAATCTGCACAACTGTTTTCATGTAAAAATTTAAATTAGTCAATTAAATGTGGCAATAGCTGATGTGGCTTGGTTCCTTTCTGTTTAACACGGTCCAATTGTACTTGCACTGAAGCTACTACTTTCAAAAGTCTTTCAATCCCATGTTGTTCAAATGTAACCCAGCCCCTCCTTCTTGTTTTGTTATAAAAGAAGAAATATCACATTTTGTCAGGCAGAGATCGTCTAGAAAGAAACTACGACAATTGAAACAATTTGACCTCTACAGATATCATACCTAATATCTACAAGCATGTGACTGTATCCTCTTTTTGTCGTTTTTAGACTCCCTTCAAAGGACAGTCGTCTGGCCAAACAATATGACTGCAACGCAGCCACTATTATTGCCCACTCAACCAAGTCATCATGTTGTTGTTGATCGACTTGTTGCGGTTGCTGCAACTCCTTCCTCAAATGAAAGCAGCAAGCGGAAATCTCAGTCTGCAACCATGATAAAAATAGAAGAGTCTCCTATCACAGGTGAGTTTACTCAGATATAATTGATTATGTTTGATGGATTTGCTTTTCACATACAGAGTATACAAAAAAAAAAGAAGTTCAATGGTCTCAGCTTTTGGCTTTTGAATTTCTTTTCCTCGTTTAGTGTATGATAGGTATAAGTAGAAAGAGCTAGTGGAGTTCTGAAGTTCATAGAAATTTTAGTTAAATTGCAATTAGAAATTGCAATTTAAGAGGAAACTAAATTGTCTGCTGAAACGGATACGGTGTTTGAGCTGAAATTCAAAATAAATCTCCTAAAAATTACCATATACTTCAGCTCTTTTCTACCTTACATGAATAATCTCATTTTTTTGTCATCAGACAAACCATTCATAGACCCATCGCCAATGGAAATTCTAAGTTTCTGAGAAGCATCAAATGTAATGTCTTCACACATTTAAAAAAAGGAAAAGTAGGGAAAATAGTCATAAAGTTGTATATAGGTCAATTTGTAGCAATCGTATTTATATTTCAGCCATTCATACATTTCTGTAGTAATAAAAGTATGAGATTCGGTTTAAATGTTTCTATAAATTTATCTTCATGATAAAGCGTGTACCCATTATAGCTTTTCCAAGCAAGAGTAAAGTTATGTATTCGGTTTGTTTGTTTATGGAATTTTTATACACACCCGATAATTTGCGTCATAAATTTGAACTTATCAAGTAAAAATCTAATGAAAGATTCCCTCATTATTTTCAGGCATGATGATGTCTTGTGAATATTCCAAGTCTTCACAGTCTTCTATCACGCAGCAAAATGGATTAGCTTTAATTCAACCTCTTCAAAATAACGGGTCTCCACTCATTGGTCAACCACATTTTTCCACTATTTCAAGTTCAGGTAAACTTTTCATACAATCATTCATATATGCAGAAAATTACATGTCATTTATAATCTGGTCACGCATTGACTTCTATTTTGCACAGGACTATATTTCTTGTAGTATTAGGTACCTTCCGGTAACCTCAGCTGTTTCTTCTATTATTAAAAAAAATCTTCACAACTTCAGTTTTAGAATGTTGATCAATTTTTGTCTGTAGATATTTCGACCATCAAGATAAATAATTATGCAATTAACTATTAAACGATTGCCCTTGTTACAGGTTCAGTGCTAATACAACACATATCAGGCACCAGTTCAATCACTCCTACATTACAATTGAATCCTCAACAACTGTCAACAAACAACACTACAAACTCTCTGCTAATCGCTAGTGCGCAGCAGTTGTCAACAGATGCTACAACTGCACACTCATTACTCAACCAGCACAGCTCTGGTTCACTTGTAATAAATACCCAGGAAATTGGGTCTCAAATTATCGGACAGCTGTCCTCACCATTTATAAATCAGCATCCAGCTCTGATCAATAACATATCAATGAATCAGCCTTTTGTCTCTACATCCAACATGTCATCATCAAACCATCAGTCATTTGTGAATCTTTCTGCTAATAATCAATCTTTTGTGTCCAGCACGAACATCATATCGCCCAATTTCTCAAACCATCAGTCTGTGAATGTTTTAGCTTCAAGCAATGATTTACACGCAACATCCACCGCACAAAGCAACTTTATTTCCCCAGAAAACATGATTAACTATTGCCGACCACCAACAATAAACATAATTTCGCCTGATATGAATTTACCCTCACCAGTGCTTGCGAATAATACGCAAGGTTTCATTTCCTCCTCGAAAATTACACTTTCCAATCAAGATAACCGGGTCAAAGAAGACTATGAGCAAGGAAATCAGTCAAAATACCTGGGACCTGAAGTGTCTGAATCCTTGAGGGGCTCTTTAAATAGCGGCTCCCAATTCCACCATAATGAGGAGATGCCTCCAAAAAAACTCATTGATGCATCAGTAGCAACATCAATATCATCTGAGTGTGATGAAGATGAATATTGCGATGAACCAGACAAAGATGACGAAAATAGTCAACTAGAAAGTGAGGCAGAAAAAAGTGTCTGTGATGATGAAAATAGTGATAAACCCGATAATAATGAAAATAGTTGTAGAAACGATTATAGTGATACTAGTGTTACCAATATCAAAAGTAGTGAGAGGAAGAATTATGATCATTCATTCAGTGAAAGTAGAAATATCGACAAGACTGATGACGATTGTATACTTAGTGATGATCAGAGTGGAAATGAAAGCGATCACTCAGTTTGTGAATTTGAGGAGAATAGCAATGACAATCTTAAACCAGTTATACGCATCAAAGATCCTTCTGTAACCACAAGCCGATCTCAGGTAATTTACCTCATGAGCTTCTTATTTTCTATAGTTTCTCCTAAAGAAAAATTTTCCGGCTTAGTATGGGAAACATATGTACTTAGTGTTATTTTCTGTTTATTGTGTTTTCATGTCGTCGAAAATATTTTTTCACCATGAGAATTTCAATGAAAACTGGAAGGGATAGCCCCAAGTTAATGCTTGGTTGCACCTTACACAGAACAATTTTGGTTGTTTAACGATGTCAAGCCAGGCTTGACACTGTCAGATCGGTTGGAAATCATATCCTTTTTAAATTTAAATTTTCATTAAGTCTAGATGAGAAAGGTATAAAAACCTGAATTTATCAGCACATGGTCATTTAAATTCCAGAAATACTAATAAATTTTTCAAAATAGAAGGTGTGCATGCAGAGGGGTACCTCTCGGTTGCTCTGTCTCAGAATCTGTATGAATGTTTCATCTATTATGATGAATATGATTCCTTGGAACTTTTTTTCAGCAGGTATATCTAGTTGTTTCTTTGATAAAGTCAAAATTTTCTGAAGGTGCTGTATTCATTGTTTCAGGCAACTTCTCCCGTAAATTTTCCTGACCAAAATTCTGACACACAAGATGAAGAAAGAGAGGATGTGGAAACAATGGTTGCACACATACTTGCATGTGATGTTGGTACCTGCGTTGATAGCTCAAAGCCTTTAAGGATCAAGGAAGAAGAATATCCTTTGATCAAGCCTGAGAACTCCTTAGACCTTAGTGGATTGGAACTGCTGTCAAATAGTATCGAGCAGTTTGAGCACAAATTAATCGTCGAGGAGAAAGTTGTCCCCAGAATAAAAACAGAGGGCTCACATAGCCTGGAAACAGCCAGTCTTAACTTTGTTGAGGACAGCAAGGAAGGTGAAGAGAAAAAGTGTCCCTCCCCACCTCCATCTGTTACCGAATCAACAGAAATTAGTGATAGTGAGAATTTAAGTGGGCTCGGTCTCTTGTGTGCACTGGCACATCAGCGGTATCTGGAGGAAGAGACTGTGGAAGATTCAGATCACAATTCGGAGCATACACCGGAGAGTTATTCCAGTAAGTACTAATTCTGTCAAATTCTCATTGTATAATTGGGTAGCCATTTTTACGCTGCAATGAATGAGAAAGGGTATTCAGCGCTGCCCCTTTCAGAGACAAAAACTCAAGCTTGTCCAGTTTAACGTTGACTTACCAAGCCATTAAAAGTGCGGTCTGGATCATTTTGTCACCAAATAGACCAATGGGTAATGGGTTTGCTTGTCACCCTTATCCTGGATTGATGATCAGTTCCATGAGACCCAAAATGCTCCTGCAGTTGCCTCCCTGATGGTCATTACTCGTGTTGCCCCCAACAGCGTAACTCTAAAAGGGAGAATTTACTCTCTTGAATCTTTTCCCTCCCTGCAGAGGATTTTTGATTTTACGGAAACAAGCATTGATGGTTATGATCCTCATTTATAATTTTTACATTGCCTTTGAGACCTTTGTCATCTACGGAAAGAATAATACTTCTTTTCTTTACAAGTTCTGTTTTTTTTTCTGACTTTCTCCATGTTACTCATTTGTCATCTTTATTTATGACCTTAAGATATTGTCATTAGTATCACCATTTCATGTTTGCATTAAGGATCTCCATTTGATCAGATTTTTTCTCCATAACGAATCATTGAGTAAATGTTGTACTTTAATTCATTTTACATTCTGTTCTCTGTGCTTACAGTGAGAAATGATAATCATAACCACCATAGTTATCACAGCCGTGAAGCTGAAATAGAAGCCAAGAGGATCCTAGCATCCAAGCAGTATAGTTCCTACACTCGTCCAGCAAGTCCAGAATATGACGCCGCTGAAATGGAAATGAGGTGTCGTATGGCTGAGTTGCAAAAGTTGTACCAGCAAAAACAAAAGGAGCTGTCGAAACTCACTCCAAGGAAGTACCGAACCAGTGAATCATCAACTGCAAGCAATCCTAGCACAACAGCAGCCCCTGTCGTGAAGAGAGGTAGGTCTTGCAGTCAATCTTAAGGAATCATTGTTTGAGAGGACTGAGAGCATATTGCATGTTCGCCAAAACTTCACGGAAAAAAAAAATTGCTGATTCAACAATTCAATTGCTAAAAACAGTGAGTGCAATGTTTCAACGCAGATTTTACAACATAAAAATGCTACTTTAACCACATTGTAAACTAATTTAACCACATTGTAAACTAATTTAACCACATTGTAAACTAATTTAACCACATTGTAAACTAATTTAACCACATTGTAAACTAATTTAACCATGGGGGTGGTTAAAGTAGCATTTTTTTGTTGTAAAATCTGCGTTGAAACATTGCACTCACTGTTTTTAGCAATTGAATCGTTGAATCAGCAATTTTTTTTTCCAAGTTAATTTTTGGGATCTAGCGCAGGAAAACAGGAAAAAATCCAGTTTATCAGGAACAGAAATGAGCTCTATGTTCAGGTAGAATGTCAAAGATTTTCAAATAGGATGAAAATTTGGCACCATCATGCTGCTGTTTGGATCAGCCATGGTTCAAAATCAATTTATTGTATCTCTTGACGATTTTAAGTCTGAATTTGAAACAAATCAACTGATCACCTATTGAAATTTTTACTCTGTTTATTTACCCCATATTTTGTTTATTATTAAATCAATTACTCCTATTTTTTCTTTAACTTGCTGTTTTTATTTTCTCAGGCCCAGGTCGACCCAGAAAGAATTTTGATGTCAGTTTACCGAAGTCTCCAAAAAAGAAAGACTCCTCTGAAGATCCTCCCTCTCCTCACGCGTTCGGTAGTCCAAAGAAAACTCCGCGCTTATATTTGACTGGTGCCATGAAACGTAAAAGATCTGAATCTCCCTCGAGACCTCGAAAGCAACGTTTGACAGCTGAAGGGGATTTATCTCCGCCAGTCTTAGAACCTATTTGCCCCACAACACCAAAAGTATCTGCTAAGTTGGATATCTTGAAGCCACCTACATTGACACCAAACAAGACCATTGATAAACTTGTTGAGGTAAAATCTAACAAAACATCAAATCGGGGAATGTATCGATTTTCTAAAAAGAAAGGATCTTTGCAAAATGGCAGTCGCAGCACTAGTCCTTATCATCAGGTAATTTTTAGCTTAGATTTTTTGCATTTTATTGTCAAAGAGGATGCTACGGAGGATATGGAAGGGGCCGGAGGAAGACATTAATATTTTTAAAAATTTGCCTCTTGTCACTAAGCAAATCAGTCAGTTTTATTCTAAGAGTTTTAATAAAAAAGTTATGTGTAAATGTGTAGGACCGGTAACATATGTTAGGCATGTATACCAAAGGAAATAAAAAAATTACAGCCTGGGGATTAAGACACGCAATGGGGATCACTCGTAAGAAACACCAAAGGCTCTACTAGACTCCTCAGCCACTTAGGAGTTTTTGATCTCTCTATGGATAAAATCTGTTTACTGAATGTAATTCCCGCTGGAACGTAGTTTAGTAATATGGTCTTGTCTGCAGAAATGTTGAAAGAAAAGCGCTTTATGTGCGTAAGACTAGCCAAGAGGCTATTTCAACTTTGTTGGTCTGTCATACAGGGCTTCCTGCACAGAAGTATCCGAATCCTTGCTTCCACTCGGCCGAATATTAACCAAATTTTTCTGTGAAACAGATAGGCTTTTTTAGAAAGTCCAATGTAGATATGGCTGGTTTGCTTAATGCTATCCAACAATGAAGTAGCATTTTAATCTTTTTTGCCAAATCTTATTACTTATTGATTCATTTCACTATAACCAATGATCCCCCTGTTTTACTGACAAATCTGAATGAATACTTTCAGATCTACCTGTTGATAAACTCAACCTTGTTGATTATTGTTCAATTACACATTATGTTATATAATTTTTTGTACAATTTTTCAGGATTCTGACGACTCTTCGGAAGAAATGCCTCTGTCGCCACCTCGACTCTCTCCTGTATCCGCCTCTCCTGTTGCCTCTCCGTCTTTGCCATCATCATCTCAAAAACGAAAAGTTGGTCGTCCTAGGAAACATACGGATAACAACTTCAATAATCTTACGGAAACTTTAGTCTCAAAAACTCCAAGAGTTACTTCTAAAAATAATCTAGTCGGCTTAATAATAAGTAGTAAAACTCATCAAAACTCACGCTTCAAATGTGATAAAAGCTCAGTCAGCAGTGAGAAATGCTTCAAGCAGACTCTGAGTCGTGATGGTTCGCCTGTAAATAGGCTGAGTGGGACTTCAAAGATCTCCTCTAGCATCTCGAGTGATCACGACGAAGAGTATAAACCAAACAAAATTCGACCAAAACTAAAAGCTGAAGCCAAGGTAATTAATTTTTTATCACTAATTAAACATAGTGCTTTTGATGTTCGTAGAACTAAAATCCTCAAAATCATGGTGGATAGACTCAATTCAACCTAATAGCATTGTCAAGTGCAATAATCTTTGCTTAATAGAGGTATGCTTAGCCCATGTTGCAAGCCCATGTTTCAAGAAGTTTCTGCAATTTACTTGCTCTACTGTACAGCTATTCTGCTGTGCCTTGGGGAAAATGCAGTGAGAGCATTAGAGAGTTGTCAAATTTCTTCTTAGAAAATCTGCATTTTAGAAGAGAGCTATGAGTATTTTTCCTTGAAATTTTCAGATTTTCTAGATCAAATTATGGGCAAATCCCTCTAAAAAATCTGAAGAGAAATATTAAAAAAAATTCCTGAAAATTCTTATTTTGTCAAAAGAAATTTGGCAATGCCTGGCGGCTCATACAGCGTTCTTCCTTAGGACGTCAGTATTGCGATCTGATTACATTAATCCTACGGGGATCAGAGAAATCAAGCAAACGGAGTGGTTCAGTTAGGTCCAGCAGCCTATACTTGACAGTTATTTCTTTTCATTTTTTTTTTATTAGTAGACGTTGGATTTTTTTTGTTTAGTGCTCCAGGCTTTTCAGAACAACTTGTTGTCAGGGCCCCCTTTTCGATGTTTACTGTTAGTTGATTTTATTTAAACTAGAATTTTGAAATAATTTTTTATTTGAAAAATACATTCCATTTTCACAAGTGTCACCATAAAAGTGACGGTTTAGCTGATTTTCCAGTATCATATCTTGGTATCAACATAAATCTCTGAATTATCTTGGTAAGATTTGTTGCACTTAAAACATGACTGAAACATTTTTGCAGGTCAAATCATGGGTTGGAGAAGAAGATGACGTTTTAGACTGGACTTCTAGCATGAGTCCAGATGATCATCAAAATGGTTTTGGAAACAGCATGAGCCCAAAAGTTGATTTCACCCCCAGGTCCTCGTTGAAGAACAAATCACCGCTGAGCCCTCATGCTTGCAACCGAAAACCAGTGGTTCCTCCCACCAAGAAAATGAAACCTATGTCAGAGGTGCATGCCAAATTAGAACTCAAAAAGTCCTCTCCTGAGGCGGTTATCACCAAACACGACTCAAATTGCCAACCTTTGATAGCTGATGAGTCTTTAAGCTGCAGTATAACTCCAGAACATCTGTCAGCTGATAAACTGCCTCTAAGAGCGCTGATCAATATTGGTGGACTATTTTACGCCGGGCAGTTGACAGCCATAGAGCCGCCTGACTTGTATGGACTGACTTTGGATGGTGAAAGGGGTCACCGCAGTCATATACACACAAGAGAAGAAATTCTAAATCAGGCTGTAAGTACTCTTTTTCAACTTCTTGACAAGTTACTGATAAAAAAATAGAAATCTTAACATTTTGGGAATAAGAGACTCAAAACCTTGAGAGCGAGGGAAATTTTGAATAAGAGGAAATTGCAGCTCGGAAAAAGAGGATTTGGTGGGACAATCTATAATGTAATCAAAACCTAATTTTTTTATCACAAATTAATATTGTCATATATGATGTTATTTCTTGTAAGGATACATGTCAACTCTCCCCGGTTGAAGCACATACATTCAGAGTTGTCTTAATTGAATATTTGGAAAGATATAAATCTCAAAATATCTCTTATTCTTGCAAAAAAATGTCTTTATCACTGAAACCATGTCATTCGTAACTCACATAAATTACCTTATTTTTGAATCCAGGGCTAGGGTGGCTCTGAAACTATCTTTAGGAGAATTTTGATTCTTCGCTTTCTTCCCCGATTTTTCTATAGTTATTTAATGCCACCAGCTTCAAACTGGAAATGAAGCGTACAAAAAAAAAAAAAAATTTACCACGGTTTTAAAGATATAAATAAATCTCCAACATTACAATTTGTGTCTACTTAACCTGTGTTAGTTTAAATTGATAAACCATATCAATGCCCCAAGTGCCAGCCGGCGTATCTTTATCTGCAATGTTGCAAACTTTCTATCATACTTTATTTTTGCGTTAGAAAACAAACTATGTCATCGTAATTTTCAAGAAGCTCCTTGATTTTTCTTCTCTGTTAGCAGAATATTCTGCATTAATTTCAAGCTCTACAATTGACTTGTTTTTCTTTGAAAAAATAAAATAGGATCGGAAATTCATTTTTATCAATATTATTGTTAAATCGATTTTCATTTACCCCTCATCTTATCAACTTTTTTCAATTTTTCAGGTTCTGGAAGTGAAACTTAGCCGTATGTTACCTGTGGGATCTCGCGTGTGTGCTTACTGGTCTCAGCAATATCGATGTCTCTACCCTGGGACTGTTGCTCCCTCTTCATCACCGACGCAACACGAAATAAAAAATAGTGCCGAGAAATTTATCTCAGTAGAATTCGATGACGGAGACTCAGGCCGAATATCTGTAGAGGATGTGCGTCTCTTACCCCAGTCATATCCAACCATGGTCTACGATCCAAACCCCTTGCTCACACTCGGGAAAAGAAAACGCCGAATTTCTTCTATGAGTTGTGAAAGTAATCCCAAAGACAGGGTAAGAACATCTTCATCTAAAATAATACCAATTCATCAGGAATCTAATTTTATGCCTCTTTTTTTTCTCTTTTTATCATAAAATAATGTTTCTAAAAGAATTTGAAGTCCCTCTGTTTACCAGAAATATTTTTAAAAGGGTTGTTTGATTTCCTTCAAATAGTCCCCAGGGGTGTTCAAACTAATTCTTGCTAGAACGCCATCGATATCATCTCTTACCGAAACTGGTGGCAGTACTGACAGTGGTGATGATATCGTTAACAGCCCGCCTTATCAGAGTTTTGAGAGCTTGCACTCAATGCATTGTTGCCCCTTGTGTCGGTTTGTCAGATTGCCTGGCGCAGCAGCGTGTAAAATAGATGTACAAATGGCAACAGCTTATTTTTGTCAGCTCTGAAAACTCAGATCGCTATCGGTAAGAGCGCTCTTAACGTAACTTCTTCTTGACGGAACTATTTTGGTAGCTTACCGACAACCGATAGAACAGCCCTAATAGTCCCCAATGCCAATTTTGGCAGTGAACATTGTGTCATTTAAAGTGTTGCACATCAACCTGCAACCAACTCTTAATTCTGAAACATGTTTAATCTATTTTTTTTTCTTTTTTAGTCGTTAGAAGAGGTATCACCTTTGTCAGCTTCAGACGCAAGAGAAAGCTCCTCCACTAACATTCCAAGTCCTGATTTTCATGTAAATGGAGGAATCCGATTAGGAGATAGTCCTATGCATAAACATTCAGAGGTAAGTTTTTTCTGTTAAGCATTTTCGGTTTCCTGGACTTGAAATCAGAATTCCAAAAATTTTAAATTCCAGCGCTCTTCTTGGATCGTAAGATTTTTTTAATCAGAAATAGATCAGTCATGAGGGCAAACTATTCATGTATTTTTTTAATTTGATGCGTTTTCAGATGAGAGTGAGATTGCATAGCTCCATAATTGCACGAGTGAATTATTCTCACAACTACGTGCACATTCAAGTCAGAGCGGCTGGCATAACATGAAAAATATATTATTTAACAAGTAATAGCAGAAACCTTCTATGGTGTTTTGCCTTTGCCTTGTTCTAAAAGTTAAAATTTTTTAGTACCTTTTTTTCTCTAGTTTTCCTTATCACTTAGTTTTAATACACTACCTTTGGGTGAGATGATGCTCGAGGCGTAAGGGTGGAAGAAGTCTGACTGTAATGCATTAGACCATTTTCATGGTTTTCATACTTTCCAGCCTAAATGTGCACGGTTGTTTCAGAAACTTCCTTCAATCATCGTATGAGCCTCACAGATTTTGCAATAACTTCTCCAAAGTAAAGACTTCAGGAGAAGCTGTTGCAAAATCTGCGAATGCTGTGATGCAAGTATTGTGTAGATAACCAATTATTAGCTGCATGTCCTAATTTTCAATTGGAAAATGTAATGGAATAGATTCATCTCAAGAGCTCTCTTCAAGAGCAAACCAAAATTCTCTGATTTTGCCACTTCCTATGCTCAGAAATGTTAGCATGCAGAAACTTTCAATGTATCATCGATTTTTTTGGAAAGTAAAAAGCATTGTTTCTGCCTTAACATGTCCCCACTTGTGACATGTAGGGGGTGGAATGCACTATCTATCGAGATTCTTTTCAATATTTTGACTCCTTTTTCTCAGGATTACAAGGAGAGGAAACGTTTAAAGAAAAGGTATCGGAGAAAACATGGATCATCTGATGATTCAAGCAATTCTAGTCTTAAACGTGAGCGGAAACGCCATCGGAGCAGTAGCAATGAGAGCAAAGATAAGTCCAAGAGACATCACAAGCATAAAAGGAAACGACACAAACACAAACACCAGAATAATGTTGAGAACGTGAGGAATGGTACGTGTGAAATATTTTCTTCCTTCATGTGTCTGAAGACCACAGACTACATTATAATTCTTTTAAGAATTAAACAATGGGCAGAGAGGGGCTTTCAGTAGACAAAGAACTTTTTGAGCATGATCGAATAATCTAACGCCAGGTTGCATGTACAGATGGCCTACTCAAGCATAATTTTACATTTATCACAGAGAAATAAATAAAATTTAAAATTTTGCTGTAGCATTTATTCCTCTGATACATACATACTTTTTGAAAATATTGCCTCGCAAGTCAAGCCTAAATTCGTGTGCTGTTAGCGCTGAATAGAACCAACTTGTTAGTCATAGCATATGCTAATCCAATGCAACTGAGCCATTCTGTAGCACCCATGCTCAAGGAGTTATATACTTTAAATTCTTATTTTTTGGAGATCATATTTCAGTGGCAATATTCTGAAGATAAATGAATTACAATTTTTTATGTCTTGTGGATAAATTCCTTCAAAATGCTATTTTTATGAGGAGAAAAATTATTTTTCTACTGTCTGCAGAGACGTCTTAAACCTCTTTTGAAGTAAGATTTGATTTTTCTCCCCGGTCACAATGAGTGCAGCCCATGAAATTAAGAACTCCAATCTTGCAAAGAATTTGTCTAAAAGCCTTGCCTTGATGAAGAAGAATTTATTAATTTTTCAAAATTTTAGGAATATTTTAACTTCTCAACAACTCTAGGTGGAGTTACACTCCAAGTAAGACCAATTTTTTAAGATAAAGAAATTTTAATTTGGTTATTAATGCATTTTTGCCTCTCAGTCTTGAGAGAACTTGTTTAATGTAATCTTGATTTAATGATTTTTTTATAGTATTTGCCTTTTCCTCCAAACTTTCAGAATCTTCAAGCCCTTCATTGTCTCCAGCTACAGACTTCAAAGGCAAAAAAACCGATGATGAGGAGCAAGAATTACTTCTCATATCATCGCCATCGCCAAGTCATGAAGCGAGTTCCTCGTTGGATAAAGTTGGAAAGCATATCAGCTCCAATGCAACTGACTCTGGAGTTGACAAGAAGAGTCCAAAAGTAAGACCTGCCCTTCTTTTTTAAAAAATTACCGTTTAGAGGAAATGTAAAGTCTCACTTGTTGAAGAATTCAGAATGGGTCAATGGCCATTACCCATTAGACAAGATCTTAATTAGAAAAAAAGTCACCTGTTTTCTCTTTGAAATCTTGCATGTATAATCAAAGTTAACGTTAAACACTTATATCTTGATTAAGGGTTGATTTTCAAATTTCTTGCCGTGTGATTTGTTTTCCTTGTGGTATTTCAAGAGAAAACATGTTGCATAATGCTTGTAATTCATACCTTTTCTGTGAGCCCATTTCCAGTTTTTTTAAAAGAAGTGAAATCTAATAGCAAAATCCTCCAAATTGTCAAAGATCTGAAGTAATTTTTGAGGAAGTATATTAAAATTTTCAAGCAATTTTTTTTTTTTTTTTTTTTTTTTTTTTTTTTTTTTTTTTTTTTTTTTTTTTTTTTTTTTTTTCAGACATGAAAATAATTTTTATTGAGAGTTTATACCTTCACTCTCTAGTGATGGTGTGGATATTCCTCCTTGTTTGGATCTTTTATGTGACAACAACTTACTTTTTTTGTAGGTGGAAAAAGATGTTCATTCCGAACCAAAGAAGAAAAAAGAAAGACAGCATTCAACAGAAAACTCCAGTAAAATGGCTCCGTTCCTACCTGCTCGGCGGCTGTGGAGCTGGGCAGGGAAAGGTTACAGACGGCCTGGGGCTAAAGGCCGAGGAAAGAAGGAATATTACAAATCAATTCAGAGAGGCAGCGAAATAATCACAGTAAGTAATGGTGCATTTTGATAAAAAAAATTATATATATATATTTATATATAAAAAGAGAGGCCGGAAAATCATTTTTAGATGTGTAAAACCTTTGAAACACTCTTTCCCTACTTTCACTCTTGTTGAAGTTAATTAGTCTTGGTTGAAATTTAGCTATAATTCTAAAAAATGCCGATCCTACATGTGATCTGTAGAGCTATGCAAATGTATGAACATTAAGAGGAAGCTATTTGAAATCTGGAACAAATACCCAACTTGATTTCTCACACACACTGGCTTTTACAAATATTTGCGTGGCTACCGTATGGCATCTGGCAGTGATCAACATAGGAATGAATATTTGAGGCAAAATGTAACCTCATCCAAATTTTATTTTGATCATAGTAAGATACATGGCTCTCAGATGGTCTTAAGCAAGTTTTGGGCTGAAGCATATTTGCCTTACAATGTTTCAACTGCTGGTTTTGCCGTGCAAAGTTCCCTCTTACTAGCCTTGGAAAAGCAGTCGCGCAACTTTTTTACAACTTCTTAGCTGGAAGTCAGCATATTTTTCTTGTTAATAATGGGTGTATGTTGTGTAGCAATGAAAGGGAACATGTGATTAGGTTCTAATCAAGTGCTATTAGTATGGCTTTTTTAGCGCTCAATGCACGCCTTCAAAGTTAATGATTGAAGTTAGAGCCATTTTTCCCATTTTTAAGGCTCCTTTTCTCAACCTTCCCATTTTCAGAAACAGTTTTTTCGGCCTACTCGTTTTTGCAGCCATTTGAGTTTTGAAAGCTTGGCATAGGCTGTTGAAAGGCTTTGCAGTCCCTCATTTTCGAACTCCCTTTTGCGGCTCCTTCTCACTTTTGCACCTGCAAAAAACTGTCAAGTCAGTAAGACCAAGTGTTGGTCAAGTGTTGGAGAAGTTTCTGCTGCTCTTCCTTCATTTTTATGGTTTTCCTATTTCAACGTGTTTTTCATTCATCAGGTTGGAGATTGTGCTGTTTTTCTTTCAACTGGTCGGCCGGATAGACCCTACATTGGTCGCATTGAGGCAATGTGGGAATCATGGGGTAGCTCTATGGTAGTGAAAGTCAAGTGGTTTTATCATCCAGAAGAAACGATCGGCTGCAATCAGGAGTTACCTTTTCCGGTAAGACGCTTCAAACGTAAATCTTGCACGTATCTGCTCTGTTTAACTAGATTCCATTTCCCTAGGATTTGGAACTTTATATTTTTTTACAGTGAATCAATAAGTGAGTTAAAGAAGGGGCTTTAAATAATAATTTGCAGTGAGATGGGCCTATTCATAGTAGAAGGGTAAAGAGTACAAGAGTCAAGTTTTAAAAAATGCATAACGAATAAGGGCATGTTGTTTTTTTTTCAGTTAAAGGTTTCAATTCATGAAGAACCTTTTACTCCATGTTTTTCTGCTCTGTTTTCCAATTTCAATTTTTCATAGATCCATGTAACTTTTGGCCTTTAACAGATAAGGATCCTAATTTTTCTTTCAGTCACTGATTTAGTAGTGTAAAATTCTAGGGCAAGTTTGCTTTTTACTTTTTAGTGGAAAGGGAATCTACAAAAATCTACCGCTCAAGCATTCTGGTATATCGATTAGCCCGTTCTGCTACTTATTATAAATCAAAGAGTATGAAAAATGAAATGTTTTTACCAATGTATTTTGCTACAGTAATTATAAAAATAAAGTGAAAAAGTTACATAGGTACCTTCGAAAAAATTCTTGTTGCTTCAAAAGCATCAAAATCAGTAGATTCCAAAAGAAAGGTTCAACTCGTTCTAATGTCTAGGAGGTGAAAATCTCCGAATGGCCCGTAATGAACACACGTGACTCCGTTATGGGTAACTAATTGGCGCTGAACTGTCGCTGAATGTTTAGATTTAATTAAGTCTGCTATTGTCTCGACTTCTTTTTTGAAAGCTAGTGTGTTACTGTGTAAGCATCATTAGAACTTCTATATCCAAGAAAGTATTTTAAATTTTGTTTATTGTTTGTTTTTTTTAAAGTATGTTTCACTTTTTTCGATTTTCTTTATTTTTCTAAATATCATGTCATGTCATATCATGTCTGATTGTTTTCTGTCTAATTTCCAGGGTGGGTTATTTGAGTCCCCGCACTTTGACGAAAATGACGTGCAGACTATTTCACACAAATGTGATGTTGTGCCTCTTGCTGAGTACAAACAGAAGCTTGATCGGGAGCCTCACCGACTTGTTACTGTCTATGATCAAAATGATATATACTACCTCGCTGGATTCTATGACCCCACTTCAATGGTCATTTCTTTCGAGCCTGATATTCAAAAAAAGAAATGAGCTTGAAGATTAGGGCACCCAATTGTAGATACTTACATTTTTTTTAGGTTGGTGATCTTTTTGAAAACACTTGGTTAGTTTTGTTGGTGATCTTTGTTGATTTTTAATCCAACCTGTATCAGCTAATGTTTTCAGTGAATATTCATTATTTAGTTTATCATGATTCAAACCAAGCAAATGTTGAAGTTCTGCCTTGGCAGGTAGTGTCAAAAAAGGAGAAAGCGATTCATCATTTGATAAATACCTACAAAATGTAAAGTTGAGGATCAAAATGCAGCCTTTGACAAAAAAATTCTGAAGATTTCTGCTCCCCAGTTTTCTAGTTTGTCCCTAAGAACTAATTTTAAATTCTAGGAGCAATTATAGGAAGTGCATCTTTCTAAAAAGGCTTCTGAAAGTGAACTGTTTTTAGTGTTAACTTTCGTAATTCTAACTTCAAGTGTCTGTCATCTTACAGCAAATTACTGCTTCAAGAATTCCTTTTTCAGCTAGGTCTCTAACATCATGCTCCTTTTGACCTTAGCTTTTGTTTCAAACCATTTATTTTAGACTGGATTCACCGGTTGAATAGACAAATTTATTTGCGAACCTTCATCAAAGTTTTAAAATCCTGTTACGTTGAATTAAATTCTTTCTATATATTTGACCCAGCATTGATATTATAAGCAACAGTAGAACTTCAACATGATACCACTTAAGACATGCAATTCACAGTCAACTTGTTGCTCTAGCTTAATTTTTTCCATCTTCCTCTTGTCTTTTGATGGTGGAAAGATTATTATATATCTAGATATAAAGGGTAAGTTACCTTTTACTACTTTCATGAATTCATTTTTGAATCTCGTTATACCTTTTAATTTTAGGGATGCATTTTTCTACTCTTGAACACCATATCTATGATGCTGTGTAAAGAGCGTACTACACCTAATGAAAATTTCCATCGCAGAAACCATGGATTTTTTTTTGTTTTTGTTGATTTGAGTTGATGGAGGTGAAAAGTCAATCAAGATGCAACAGTCCAGACTGTATTTTCCTTTTATTATGTTAAATTATCATTAAAAAGCAATTTTTTTTAAATCCTTCAATTTGTCATGTTTGAATCAGCCTCCTACTGACCGCGAGAGGTAGTGAATTTTTCAGGTATTCAAAATTTCCCTACGATCTTTAGGGAATTGAATCTCCTTTTCAATTTTTCCGAGTGTATGCCATTTTTAATGAAGCAAGGAAAATCAAAATTCTCATAATGCTCTCTTTCCCCTCTGTTGGTGTTCCTTTAATGCAAGCATGTAAGGAAAGTTTTCCTGAAGACTGAATGTAGCCTTTAGTAATTGTCATGAATTTAAGAAAGAAGTTTCATTTAATCATATTTATTTTTTTAAAGAAAAAAATTTTTAGACTGAAATTTTTTAGCTCAGGAAACGTAATTGCTTATGTTGCTCTGTTTAAAAAAGGAAAGAATGTTATTATTCCTCGGAATAACATCGACAACCAGACTGAAATCCTTATCCTGTGGGCTAAGTCTTGCAAAAGTTTGTGCTTGAAGTATAATTAAAAAATTTTGAAGAGACAATTGAGCCATAATTTATCTTTACTTATTCTTCAATGCCTGGTTTTATTTTAATCTCCCTGAATAGTAGAATCACTTAAGTGGACAGCTATTGATTCGAGGCTACTATATTTTGTGATTAAGTTTGAGTATATGAAAACAAATGTAAAATGCGTGAAATGTGTATCCAAATTGCAACATTTAAAATCTCCCATCATGTTTTATTTTCCCAAGGAATGCTAATTAAAATACTTGTCTGCGATTTTGTGTGACTTTTTTTATATGAGAGAAGAAAATTCACAAAAAGTTTCAAACATAGAAACTGTTGATTAGTTCTCATTTAAAAAATAAAACATGAGCGGGGACTTAAAACGTTACAGTCTGAGGTACCCATTTTTCGACTTCCATGAGTCACATCCATGAGATGTTGTTTTATTTCAATCTACAAGGGAATTGTTTGTGATATGACTGGTTTCCCTGTGTCTGTAGTTTTAACAAGCTGACTGATTTTTCTTTCTTTTTGTTGCATGAAGAACCTTCTAAGATTTGAAAAGAGGCTGGTGAAATGTAATTTCACGAGTTAGATGTTCTTGTTTTCTTAGATACTAATTCCAGTAGAATATTTTAAGATCCCATACCTGTGATTTAATTGCAGTCTATATCCCGCCTTAAAGCCACTGCATAATACGCATATTGCGGCTCGCAAGACAATTGGCGTAACTACACCGAGAGATGAGCTCGGTAACGCAAGTTATACGGAAGGCAGAGTTCATCGGGAAGTCTAGTTACGTCTTTTTGTCAGGAGAGCCACGATATGACCTATTTTGATTGTGCAAATACCAAAGCAAAAATTTTTGCTCCTGACTACTATGACGAATTTCCTAAGTTAATGTATGTTTAGATTTTATTGAATAACTATTCTCTTGGGTCATTTCAAACTTTTTTTGCTTTGATTCTGTTGCTTTTGTCCCCAGGGATCAGTTGATAAACTTTAATGCAAACATCCAGCTAAAATCTATTTAAGTGATCAACTTGAGCTCTCTGAATTACTGAGTTGATTTCCCTGGAGTATCACAAACGCAACTTATATACATAGCTCATATATGTTATGAGCAGTGTTCTGCCTTCCCACTAAAATTTTGAGGAGCCATCTACAATTTCTTAGAGATCAAATGAACTTTTTACATGCTATGCTGTTTTGCTCCGAGTCTGTCCTGTTCTCAGGCTGTGCTGCAAACGTTTCGTTAAAGAAGCCTCTGCTGCTTTTCGATTACAAGTTTAAAAAATCGTTAGGATGCATCAACTTTTCTAAGCAGCACAATGGCCCAGCCCCTCTAATTTTTTAGGCGCAGAAGTCCAATTTTTAGATGCGTTTGATGCATGGCGACTGTGGAAGGCAGAACGCTGGTCAGGAGGCTGCGGAGATAAATTTCTATGATTGCCTCAAAATTGTACTCTACGCTTTTATTATTTTACTAATTCCTGAATCTACAATTAGTCATAGTTCATCGTGTAAATATGAAACTGTACATATTTTATTTTGTAAATACTTAGGTACTTACATCTCTGTCTTCCCCATACTTTAATCGTATCTTAAGAAAATTATTTTGTTACTTTGATTTTTATGTTGAATGTTCAATTAAGTTTTTGTTATCCTGAATCATTTTCTTCAGTTCCGTGCGAAAAGTTTCTCTGGCAATTTTGTATACTTAATCTTTTGATTTGATTAGAAGCATATCGACAGTGAAACTGCCTAAATGGGTATCTCGGTTGCAGTGTTTCTTAATCTCCTCTCTTATTTTATTTTTTATAAGGAGATCAAACTATCAACATGAACAACACATTTAGAAACATTAATCACCAAAGTTTTCAAGAAATGACGCTTAGTAGTTCTCCTTGTAGAAAATGAAGTGTAGCAGGAAGTCTGCAACACCCCAAACCGAGATTAGCATGTCTGCAGTTTCACAATCAATATGTGCCGTATCATATACAGGGTTATTCAAAAGTCACGCACCACTGGCCATACCTTTAGTTCTAATCATGTTACCGATTTGAGGTTGAAGACGTTTTTCCTTTTATGGAGGGGAAAACTTGTTTGGGTACTTTCCAGTTTTTGATCCCCGCGCGGGGAGGGGGGCGGGGGGCGGGGGGAACTTAAAAATTTAAAATGGCCTCCCCCCTCATGGCCAGTGGTGCGTGACTTTTGAATAACCCTGTATCTCAACTGTGAGATTCTCACCATGTATCACCATATCTGGCTAATTTACTCAGAGCATCGATTTGGAGGTCTCCTCAAAACTTTATCAACACACAGATTTAGTAATCTTTACTTGTTATTGTTAAATTAAGCAGCAAATCTTCAGATGAAAATATAACTATTCGTAGTTTCACTTGTTGGAATAAATGTGTGCCTCAAATCCGGTACCAAATAAATTGTAAAATTTGTTTGTGGGAGCTTCTCAAAACTTTTAAAATCTTATCATCCAGACCTTTTGATTATTTCTTTCATAATCTACTTAAATAAATTATCGAAGTAATGATGAATTCATATTTTACAATTTTGCCTCCACCCCTTAGTCTTAAGCTGGTTTTAGTGAGTGGAGTGATAAAACTTTATTTCTGAAATAATTCTAGTTGCTGAAAAAAAAATCAAAACCATGCTTAAGTCAGTAGTGATCCACTTTGTAACCATGACAACTCTCTTTTTATCGGTCTGTAATCTTGGATATAGAAAGACGAAACTCTTGTTTGTAGTAGGTCAAAATAAAAGTGAATCATTGCCAGACTCTTAGAATTAGGATAAAGAGAGACTCGAGTGCTTGAAACAGAAGGGAGTGTGCAGGTAGTTTTACAGTAATACCTCAATTATTCAATTAATTGTTGCGAAAGCCCCAGCCATATACCGAAACGAAAAAATGATGCACAAGGACTGTTTGAAGTGAACCATCACATAGTTTCCAACTTAGTAACAAATGAACCTATGAACTAAATTAAACTGACTTTATTATGTTGTTTAAGACAAGGTTTTATTATAATGAACATATCGTAAAAAAAGTCCCATCATTAGTTTCACTGCAGCGATCATTTTACTATAAACCAGTTATAATTTACTCTTACCAAAAATTTTCAAATGTGTTTGAACACTCCCAAAGTTATTTTTTCATCGGAAAAAAATATCACTCATTTAGTGAAATAAACTCTTTTGTAATTAATGATTTTGTTGTTCTGTCTTTCCAGTGAATGACTTCTTGGGATCCTATTTCATTATTTTATTATTCTCTGTAGGTCTTCTTTGTGAATAAAAAATCATAATTTATGAAAAGAAACGAAAACGAAAAACAAACAAACTACCCAGGTAGAAATGTATTCTAATTTACAATTTTTGAGAAAAAAAATTGTTTCCTTTAATTTAACGGATTGTTTGAAAAAAAATGATAGAATATGGTATACCTAGAAATATTTTTTATTAAAATCATAAGTTTTTTTTTTTTTGATTCAGTAAGCAAAATGAATTGAATCTTGTTTTAAACAATGCTAAGTAGGTAATCTTTTTAACTTACTGTTATATTCCAAGCTGATAAAATTTTCTGCAGGTAAATGGAAGAGGCTAAATCGAAAGTCAAGGTAAATTCATCCAAGATGACAGCAATGACCTATTTATTTCTATGTTTTCATGGCATAGTCAGTTTTCTAAGGTTTTAAATGTATGTTGAAAACTTATTACATAATAACATAGGTACTATTAAATCAAGAATTTTAGGTTATTCCCGGTTATTTTTTTGGTATCCCTGAGGTTTGTTTTAGTTTAAACATTTTTGTAAACTGATTTTTTTGTAAATATGTAAGTACTTATTGTCTTTGATGAATTGTATTATAAGGTTGAACCACCCTAAATTTTCAAACTTTTAATTTCAATTAAATGTCTCAGAAATGAATGCGCTTGTTTGTTTTTTTTTCACTCTTCTACAAAAGAACCAATAATGGAATAAGAACCCGGCAATCAATTTTGATCAGATAAAGCTGCTCATTAGGATTGTCAATTGCTTCAGAAGCACATTGAAATCATTTCGTGCATGCATATTTATTAACAATTTTTGGGCATCCATAAGAGCCCTCTCCTAATAATATGTCTTCATGCAAAATTGAAGTCCTTAAATTATCAATGAAACGCTATTTCTTTATATTTTTTATTTTATTTTATTTTATTAAATTTATTTTGTAGATAGCATAAAAGAGGGGCTGTTCAAAGCATTTTGAGCAATCTTAAGTGTTCCTTTGTGGCAGCATCTGTATAAATGTTGTGATATTCAGGAGTAAGTAACAGCTGATTAAGATGAAGACTGCTCATACATGGGGGCTGCATTGAAATTAACCACTCATGGGGGACAACATCAAAATTCAAGTAATTGAGGGTGTTAAATTTTATTTTGTGCTTGGTATCAGTGTTAACTTCTGTCAGAATTTTAACTAACCTCGCGTGCTTAGTATGTGTGTTCAATTCAACTGATCCCAGAATTCATCAAATCTCTCTCGCATCAGTTCACTTCTTAAATTAACCTATTTTATCTTCCTGAAAGTGAAAGAATTGATCATTTTTTACAAGTAAGTTTTTATATTTTTTAAAAAATGGTCTTTCTTTATTAGTGCCATTATCGATTACCTATTTTATTACCTCCCGCATCAGGCATTTTAAGTGTCAGGTTTCTTTCGTTTTCCTTAATTCAGTTTTCAACACAAAAATAGCTAAGAATGAGCGTTTAAAATTTCTCTATTACATAGAGTTGCAAAGCCTCATCAGTTGACTTCATCAACTAATTGGGAGATATTTTTCTGCTCAAATTTGGTTTCCTTTGGATGGGTGTCTAAAATGCATGATCAAAATTGAGACCCACATTTCTGTAGGTATTTGGTTTCCTATGTCCAGCCATTTATCAAGATATTATTTTTTATTTTTGAATTTTCTGCTTTAAACATTCAAACCGAACACCTCTCAGTGAGGCTTTTAAGAAATTTGTCAACGGCCATTCTTGATCTGCAAGCTATGTGCAGAGAGACATTCCATTTCACAGGAAAATCAAAATTAAGGCGTCAACTATTAGCCAGAATCTCATCTTTTTTCAAAATTTTACTTCATTACGCAGTAGCTAGGATTTGTAGAGAGAATCTCATCCTAATGAAAATTAGACTTACTTATAAAAACCGAGTACCTAATCAGTTCTCACCGATTTTCGTCGAAAAGGAAGATAGAAAAATACTATTTTACTATATCTTGTTTATTTTCTTGTTGATAGGTCATTAAGGTCATCAATCGATCAATTTTGTCTTTGCCTCCTCATCTGAATTTTCAATAATTTCTCCTTACCTAGACTGCAAGAATGATTTCATGTGAACCAGTACCAGTCAGCGATAAATTTTCTGAGGTGATGCATTATTTTTTTCGTATCCCTTAAATTTTTCCTACACTTAATTGTACATTCAATTCTTAGCAAAGAGGGAGCCAAATTTTGACCAGGAAAAATAGTGATGGAAAATGGTTTCTTCGTGCTAAAAGTTGAATACTAGAAGGAACTAAGCATCTACAGCAAATCTTTAGCTTTGAATGTCGGTCGACAAGATGAAAGATCACATGAACTTTCGGCCATATAATTCAGAGTTATGAGGAAATAAATGTTCTTGATGTCATCATCACTAGTCAGTAATGACTGACAATGTATTATAAATTTTGTTATTCTGAGGTTGTTTGGTTAAGTTGCCTCCGCAGAACTATTCGCACATAAATCTTGTCTGTTATTTTAAAAGAATCTAATTTCTTGCTTGCATCATCTCAGAGTCAGATATTGGAATCCTGGTTTTAAGAACTTCGATTTTAAACTCAGGTTTTTTTCCAATGACTTCAGGCAAAATGTTCAGAAGGAGAGATTAATCAAAACGAGAAGGTACCGAGATTTTCACTGCATACCATTGTACAATGTTAGAAGGCATTAGGTACCTAATCATACTCTAAAGATAAAACTGCTACCAAAAATGCTATGCACTCCCGTTTTAATGTTGTCAAAAGTTTCACGTCGATATGTCAAGTCCATAATTTTATAGGTCTTAAAAGTTTTTTTTTTTTCTGAAGTAAGAAACTGAATGTTTGGTAATCATGTTCTAGACAGTGAATACTTCCACAACCAACAGTAGTTTTCAATCCTGTCTTGATTCTGCCGAATGGTTTAACGTTGATGCTCTAAAACCAGTCCATGATCAAAAACAGCTTCATGCAGTTGCAGAAAATTTGAAGAAGGTAGTACCAATTCTTTTTAGCTTTTCAGACGAGTTACCCTGGTAAGGTCGATTAGCATATCATGCTGGATCAGTATAATATAATGCCGAACCAGTATATCATGCTGGCTGCAAGTTATCATCAGCATGATAACATGCTGGCAGGAAAAATCAATATGATACTTAACATGTCGGCAGGGAAATCAGTATGATATCAGCAAGATAGCAGGATATCATGCTGATAAGGAAATGATATCATACTGATACGAAATAGGAGAATCCGCCAATGCACATTTTGATATCATGCTCATCGATTTAATCAGGACAGGCACTTGAATGCCTGAACCAAATATAATTATCTAGTACCATTTTCATTTTGGATTTGACTATTTTGAAAGATATTCTTACTGGATTTTGATTTACTCAGGTCTGGAAGAAGCAATAATAATAGAAAATTTTCAAATGAATTGACAGGAAATATATCTGTGATCTATTAGATGTTAATTGAAGCCGACAATGAGTAGAAGAGATAAGTGACATTTTTAAGATGATTGAATTATTGATGATTTTGAGCGAAATTTGTCTAGAAGTACCTATCTTCATGAAGAAGATTGATCTCAAAGATCCAAAGAGCTCTGCATAAGTGAGTAAAACTTGTGAACTGAGAGACCAATTATAATTTTTTAAATGTTATACTCTTATTTTTTTAAACACAAAGAGTGTCACTTATCCCTCTATTCACTGAGGGCTTCAACTGTGTTCTTCACAAACCTTGAGCCTGAATATCTAAAACCGAACCAGGAAGTGATTTTCCACTTCACTCATTTATCAGTGTTTGAACTTGCAAATTCGTGGTTTATTAAAATTTTCAATTTCTTCTAAGTTTACGATAAGTTTTCTTCTAAGTTTTCTTTTAAGTTTACTGATCCCCCCCCCCCTTCTTCAAGAGTCACAACTATATCTACTGCTTTTTGGAGTTCAACAATGTATCATAATAATATTCTCTCCGGTTGACAGCTGTGCACATGTTACAAAAAAACTGAACATAAGAACCGTGAGCACAAAGAGCTTATTGCAACGGTGCTTCGGGATTTTGACAAATTTTCTGAAAAACTGTGAGTTAAAAACTTTCATAGTTAGTTATTTAATTTTTCAAAAATAAGTCTGGAAGTAAATATTTAAAATTACAGTCAGTAATTTCGAGATTTAGCATTTTGATAATTATAGTAATACCTACGAACAATTACATTTTAAACTCTCTTTGAAAGTAAAATAATTGGATGTTCATAATCCCGAAAAGGCTCAAATGAAACTTTAATTAAGTGCAGGAAACACAACCTGTCGTTATAATGTTAGGATTAAAAAGGTTGTACACTGCTGTCTTTCCACATCTTTTGCACTGTATAAATGACATTTGTCATCATAAAATTGGGTCATCTGGATAAAAATGTTATTTTTGTCTTCTTCAATATAATATTGTTTCTTGGACAACAAACATTAACTCTTTCAGATACTTGCATGTGGTTGAACAATAATGGAATATTGGAAGAATGGAATATTTTGCATAACATTGTAACTTTAAACTAACTTGGATACTCTAACTTATTAATTTCAAACCATAATTCAGCCTTTGCATAGGTTGTTTCTTAGACTTATTATGTATAATGTTTCAGCGCAACTGTAAATGCAAAAAAAATTAAACCTAAAGAAACTTTGGCCGAAAACAGAAGATTCGCAGCTCCCACTAGAAATTCAAGGTATAAATTGATTCAGAAGAATTGTCATAAGAAAAAAAACCCTCCCCGCTTACATGTGAAAGCTAAAGCGCTTGAAGATTCACTGACAGAAAAGATGGAGAAATACTTGATCAAGAATCTAAAAATGAAAGATGATCCAGAAAAAGTAGTGTCAAAAGGGAAAGAAGATCAATATTGCCACAGGATGGTTGGGGACCTAATTGGAGACAGTGACAATAAAAGCTTTAACCCGCCTTTCCCAGACACAATTGTACCTAAGATAAAAGATCTAGAGAGGATATTTAATACACTCAAAAAGTCAGTCGAGACAAATTCAGCAAGTAAGTGTTAGTAAAATTATGATTAAACTAGGAGGTTCATTCCCGCAGTATATTTTACTGTTTTACTTTTCACAGATTATTTGCAGATGAGGTAAATCCGAAACTTTCAAATTTTATAAGATTTACGTATGTATTATTGACTGGCTTCCTCACCATTCTTTGAACAGGTATTCTCTCTGTAAACTGGTCACAAAAAGGATATTTCCTGCATCACAAAGTCGGTTACCAAACTAAGCATCCTGTAATGAAACTTTTTAAAAAGGTTCATTAAACTTTACTCCTGGGAAAAATCTACCCATGGGCTGAGAGTAAGTGAGAAATTTCTGAGATGTCATTATCATACATGGCAGAGAAAAATACTTGCATATATTCTATTCTTCTTGTGTTTTCTTGTGTTATTCATCTCAATTTTTTTGCCATCTTACTTAGTTTTATGTGCTGAACTCTATTCTCCTACAGCCAATATGTTTACAGACAGAGAAGTTATTTTTACGGTATTTTTGCAGCAATAAATAGTGAAGAGACCATTCCATTAGAAATTGATGCAAAGACTGTTGAGACTATAAGCAGTTTAATTAGCTACACTATTTTAAAAATTTCGAAAAAAAAGCTGAGGGAAGATTTTGAGAGGATCCAAAAGGAAATCGATGCAATTGACAGCAACTGGAAACTGGATGCTTCCTCTAAAAGGGTTTGTGGATAAATAAATTCTTGGTATATTTACTTTCATTTACATTTTATTTGAATTCTAATATTTTATTTGTGAAACATGTTATTCATATTTTTCATATTTTTTTTTTTTATAATCGATACCCAATTAAAAATCCAAGTCATAAAATTAGCACTCTAAAAAACACCTGAGATTTGGATATTACGGAAATGTGAATTTTGTTACAGAATAGAAAATTGAAAAGCATACTTGTGTCCAAGTAGAATTTGCAAGTCCATGATTTCTATGAAACCCTTGGGTTTACATTTAAGATTTGTTCTCCCTATTCTATACTTCTCCTTCTCTATTCTATGACTTAAAATTGAATTACAACAATTGAAAAGACGTAAATGGTGGAGGAAATTTCAGCTCACTGAGTCATTAAACAAGGCAAGACTGCCGTGGAATGGAGCCAAATAATTGATTGACCATAGGAATTGAGTCGATTGTATGAGTTGTTCTGCCCCTAAACGAAAAAATAATTGTTTGTTTGTCAGGCACCAAGAGGCTACCCTTAATTTGTCAGTATCCGTCTCAATAAGGGCTCAGAACTTCAACGCATCTTCTCTAATCAATTAATCAATCACAACTCTATTCTACCATAATGTTGCCCTCTTTAGTGGACAAACACAGAAATTTAAAAATTAGCTCGCAGGTAGATAACAATTCTTCCTTCAACTTTTTCTGAATTTGGATATTGCCAGGGTTTCGTTGGACACTGTCCAAATGCACAAATGTGTGATTAACTTTTGAGGTGCTTTTCAAACATTCCAGATGATTCACTCTTGTGTGATTCCATCTGATGAATCGTTTTGAACTCTTGTTAATTAAATTTTTTCTTCCAGGAGAATTTTCAGGAAAGTCGGTGTGAGGCTAATATAATAAAAACCGTGACAGACCAAATAGAAAATATTCAGAATCAAGTCGAGCAAATATCACAGACGAGCAAACTCTTAAATGATGAAATGTTACGACAAAAGGAAAATATTATTGTAAGTTACCTAGGATGATACAATTTTGGTCACACAAGACTTATGAAAACATCATGATGATTTGACGGTGGAACTGCAGGAAAGAGTGTCTCTGTTTGCAACCTTGTAGACTTCCTGACATTCATTACTTTTTAAATGGAAATTTACTTAACGCCACTTCTTGAGAGCTCCTTGATCTTTCTCCTCTGAATGAAAAATATTTTGTAAAAATTTCAAGCAATAGTGTTCATTTGTTCCCTTTGGATGAGATAAAATGGAAATTGAGATTTTTAAGCAGTGCAAATAAGTTATACGTTTTCGCAGTCTCACTGTCAAATTGTTGCTTTGGCTTTACGACTTGAAGAAAAAATTGGATTTTGGGCAACTCTGGGTACCTCTCCAAAAAAAAAAAATTAAAAAAAACGAAAGAAAAAAATAAGAATCAAACGCTCTTCAGGGGTAATAAATAAGATGGCATATGAACAAAAGAATGTACAAGTTATAAAAAACAATTACAAATATAAACAACAATTGACCATCTCCGCCCTCGCCTCAATTTCAGTGCAGTGATTCTCACCAATTCTTATCTGATTTCATTGGTCATATAAGCAAGTGAGTTACTCTTCTGGATCAGGATGGGAGAAACTTCAACTCACTTTTAAGTTGGAGTAAAACTGGATTCGAGGGAAAAAGATGATTTATACAGAGACAGATGCCATTATAAAAGGCTTAATACAACTATACTTTTTGGCTGAACAAATTACTATCCTACAAAGCGAGGAAGGAGAGTAGATTAATCTGAAGAAAATAGAATCTTTGAGAAAAAGAAGATTGTATTTCACACTGAGGAACCTCGTATTTTAAACATTGTGTTTTCTAACGCCTTTTCTTCACGGGACGTTTCACAGGATTTTTCCCAAGTTTGAATCGCAGGAATGAAACTTCTGGGCTTTTTCCCATTAAACAACAAAACAAAATTTCTTCTTCTTCATTTTAAGTCGTTCCTGGGACTCCAAAATGACTCTTACTTGGCACTGTGATTAGTATTGACTAACTCAATATTTTTCCCAACTTCGCAAGTGAGATTTTTCCTTGAGACAAATCCCATGAAACGTCCCAAGGCGACAAGGCCTAATGAAAAATCAATTGACTATTTATCCATAAAAGAGTGCAAAGAATATTCAGATGGCTGTAAAAACGAAAATGAATTGAAAAAACAGTAACACTACACCCTTGCTTAAACTTCCTGTTGGTTAAATTGAATTTCTGACACTGAACGTTTTCTTGGGCAGAACCTAGATGGGAGAATAAATGAAATCACTTCACCTAAAAAAATATTTGATTTTGAAGCTTTAAAAAAAGAAGAATGGTTTCTCTCTGGTGACCAGTGTCATGGAAATCCTGATTTTTGGATAGCAAAACTATTGAGAAACATTGAAACTTTGGCCCATCAATTGAAGAATGAGGTATGTACTTGGCATTTTAAAACAAAAAAAAAAAACCTTTATCCTAAAATTTTCAAAAAGATGACAGCTTTTTGGCTTTTTATTAACACAATTCTGCAATTTCCAAGAAACCATGAATAGCTTAATGACGCGAGATTGTCTTTGCAAGTTCAAAACCTCACCTTACAGGGCTCCTCATTTTTGCTTACAACCTATCAAGGTGCTCATTGCTGGAGAGATCATTCCAATACTTGTTACTTTTTTCTCCAAAATAGACTTAAAAATTGTTTCCCAGGACGCACAGGACAGAGTTTTGGTGTCTATCACAATATTGACATTAGTTTTCGTTTTTGAATAAGTCTGAGTTTGTCACAACAAGGTACTTAAGACTCACTGTATCTTTTTCTTTAACGATTATTGCATGCAGAATTTCTAGCGGATTAGATGTAACACAGACGCAGCTGCAATAAGTTGATTTTGAGACAAAGATATTTGGCTTGGTAACACGGAGATGCGAGACATGGCTTCCGCGTACTTTCACAACTAACCACCACTAACAGATACCAATTTTCCACGTTCTAATTCTCTAGCTATGCTTCATAGTATTAGGAGTGGTAAGGTATTAGCACACCCAATGATGAAACAGAGTAAAAAACTTGAATTGAAGGATGACAGCGAGAGGAAAAATCCACATGGTTGACTTGAAGGGAGCTTCCGACAATTCTGGCAATAACACTTCCCCATGGAGGCTTTTGTTGGTGTTGCACAGAGATCTCCTCACGTACAAAGTTCTGAAACAATCAAATGAAAACTCATACTTAGAATTAGTTTCCCAGGATTAATAAAACAAGACTAAAAGTGGAAAAGGAAAGAATACCTACCATATGGTTTTTTAATCTAGATTCTTGGGAAATAAAAATAATTCTTTTTTTCTTTTCAAATTCACCCAGAAAAAATTTCAAGTTGACAGAGGAATCGAAGTTAAGGAATCGATGGAGGAGGATTTTAAAGAAAGCATTAATAGCATAAAACAGGACACCAGGCATCAAAAAAATATGCTTTCACCCATGAATAATATTGTTGACACTGAATTTCCCCCGTGAGTAAGATTTTTCTACTATTTACTGTACGCTCCAACTCAGTAAAGATCAAAGGTGACCAAGTATGTCAAGTTTTTATTTGACCTCACAGTATAAAATCGAGCAGTTATTATTGCACGGTGGTAGTGATAATAAAAAATATTGGATCATATGTTCGTCATTCTTCAGTTTGATTAGAGTCCATATAAGATCAGAAATAAGTTTACGCATTTTTAGACTGCAACAGAGAATCGTGTGACGTCAGTTTAGCATTGCAAGTGAGTGCAAAAATAAAGATGGCAAATCTACTGCCGCAGTCTAAAAAAGTGCGTAAACTTAATTGTTGGGACTCCAGCTCTTGCTGCAGCCACTCAGGTCCTGCAGGATAGGATGTCTTGTTAAAATCGCACGGGCGCATGGGACCATGGATACAGATATAGTTTTTCCTTTGTGGATCACTACATCTTACTCTCATTCCTGAAAAGAAAGATGGAATAAGACAACCCTCCCCCCTCACATCTCCTTAAGAATTGCAGTTTTGAGAATGGAAGAGTAGTCGAAAACCACAGTTTAGCATCTATTGAGCCCATTGAGATAATTAGCTCAATGAGAAAAGAAAACATGATCAAGGATTTTTTTAAGAGTGTATGCCATCTAACTTAAAGAACCGTCTGTTACAGGGAAAACATACGTTATAAACAGCATAGATCCAATATTCATCCTCCGAGCAATAATTTGATGTGTTCCTCGGAGATCAAGAAAATTGCTGGTCAAAAAAGCTCTGCCATAAGGAGGATGAAAAGGTATTCTCAATAGCAAAGTAAGGTTATCTATGCCCTCTTTTGAAAAATGAAGGTGTCCTGGCCTGGATTTCTCACCTAATTATTGGTTCTAAGATTTTATAATTTTTACTTAGGGGACCTCACATTATTGTACAATTTTCTCACCAAAAAGTAGTTTTTCAAAGGTGGAACTAATAAAACGCATACCTCAGTATTTTGTGTTGCAGGTTTTCTTAATTTTGTTTTATAAATAAAACTTTAAAATAAAAAAGTTGGATAGGAGGAGTGAATAAGAAAAATAGAGACAGACATGAAACAGAAAAATGATGAGAGGTTTTACCTACTTTAAAAGTTTAAACTTGACTATCATGCTGTGAGACTAGCTCTACTAAAAATAGTTAATACCTCAATCTCCTTATGAGTATTATTGGCCCCCCTCTGTCATTCTACCGTTCGATCATAAATAAAAGGTACAGTTTTTTTCTGATAAGTTAATAGTAGTTAGTTCATAGCCAATGATAGCTGCACTTTTTCTCTTGCAAGTTTGGATTGAGGTTAAAAAATCTGAGGAAAATGCAGATAAGGCAAACAAATTTTTACTGACATATTTTCAGCAAATTTAAACTTTAGTTTTATTTCAGGGGACCTATTGACCATTGCTGCATGCTAAACTTAAAATAATGCTACATTATTCATGAATTTCCTTTCCTCCACTTCAGAATGAGATGAATTAATTTATTGCGTTTTCGTAAATTCAGGTATGATTACTATCCAAAAACTGACGATAGTTCAAGAGTTGGCTCAACGAAACAGCTTAATTTACGTAGATCCGCCAAAATGGAGACGTCATCACTGAGGAGGCCCATGAAATTTTTGAACACTTCAAACAATAAGCACCGCCATGAGGACAAATCAGAAAGAGGAGATTCTCCCCAAACTGAATCTTTTTCTCCCTTACTTGCTCATTTGTTTGCTGCTGATCCTGATTTTATAACTGACTTAATAGGAAAAGAAGTAGAGAAACGAATCCCAGAGCTAATTAGGATAAATAAAATTCCAAAATTGTTAGATGAGATAGCTTTTCAGGCTATTAAAAAGTACCATAACGCTTCTGCTGAAATACCTTTTACAGTGACTAGAGGAAAGCTAACACATCAAACCCCACGAGTTAACATTCGATACCTTGAGATCAAGAAAAAAAGTTCCCTTACCCGAAAGAATATTTTCAATTATTCTCATGAAGTCAATGAAAACAAGCTCCAAGATAACCAGTTTCGAAAAAGAGCGAGCAGTGATGATTTAAGGATGGGAAGAGGAGCGAGCAAAGGTGATTCACAGAAGAGAACATTTGAAAATCAGCCCTTCAGGAAAAGTGAAAATTCAAGCTCTAAGGGAATAGATCAGACGAGAGCACAGGATAAACTCTCTTACCCGAATTTGCACTGGAAAAAGGAAAATTTGGAGCTTTACTCCGAGGAATTTCTAGCTGCCATTAAGCGGTCTTTTGTGGAAATAATATCACACGAAATAAAAAAATCCATCACGGAGTTGGTGAGGAAAGAAACTTCACCAGGAAATGAAAAAGATCCTGTCGGGCTCAAAGATACTTCTGCCACTAGCTTGAAACCATTGTGGGGATCTACATCTCGAGAGTTAATAAAGAATGAACCTGCATCAGCACTATCGATTGTCACGACAGGTAAACTTCAGAGCTCATACAATATTGCATCTAAAACAGACTTAACCTCGCAAATTACTCTTGACTGTGTTCAACAGTTTGTTGATGCAGTTAAGACTATGAAGATCCAAAAAAATCCTCTACTAGACAACGAGAAAATCAGCATTGACATGAAAGAGGAAAGCAGACAAAAATTAAAACCTGCTGATCGTCCAGCAGAAAATTCCAGACAAGGATCCAACATACAGCCAAACCTTTTTGTTCCTCTACCAGGCATTCATATACTCGACAGCTTTTTGAGCGGCCAAGTTCTAGGTTCGAGCTCATTGCCTACTGAAGAAAAGAAAATTTCCGCCGAAGGAGAATCTAACTGTTGCGAGTGCATAACAGGGCAAAACTGCCCACAGACTCTTTCAATGAAAAAAACTGACAGTAAAAATTGCTCTGACACTTCGACCTGCAAATGTTCCTCGGAATTTTCAAATTCTAGCTGCGATTAGGATTTCAAAAGGTCAGTGAGAAAAGCTTGTTATTTACAAGGACGACCTTTTGGATTATATGTATTTCAAATTTAATTCTATTTTTATTTTCACAGAATTCACAACTTTTTCTCGTGCATCACACGAGTTATAGCACCGGCATGATAGGGCGTATTTATGCTGAAAGGAATTATTTTGCAGACAAACCCTATGCTCATAGTCTCTCTTAGCATAAAAACGTCTAATTAAAGGGTGTATCAGTGATGTCACTTCAGGTCCAATACTTTTGAAGACCATTAAAAATACCTGGAAGTAATCTATGTTTGAGGCTATCAGCAATTGAACGTAGAAAATGCCCAATTTTTGAGTTGTACTGTTGAAGGAAAAATGCTTAACAATGATGAATTATACTTTATTGAATTTTCACAGCTCACTCTCAAGTAATACATTGTACGGGTTCTTCTCTCTCTGTATCTTTTAATTTCTTTTCATTACTTTACATTTATTAAATTCCTTTATATTTCTTCTTTCATCCTTCTTTACATTTCTTAAATTACTTTACATCATTCTACATGTGTTCAAATATAGGCTTCAATCATCGATAAATGCTGGATAATTCATTAGTGCATCAGGATGAGTAAACAAAACTTGATTCCAGAATTTTGCAGTCCAATAGCAGGAATAAGTTGTGTTTGGCATGTAAATGAAGCGTTTTCAGAAAAAAAGAAAAAAAAATCCTCCCATTCTGTTTTTGAAAAGACTGTTTGAACCGTAGGAAATTGCTAAAAATTTTGAGCTTGGACAATTATTTGCCAAGCTCTCTGAGATACTGGATACTCTGAGGTACTGGACATTTCCAGTAATGGGCAAAGACGGATTAACTATGCCAGATGATGTGGAGGATTGAAAATAGGAAAAGGTCTGAAATTTATGATTGAGGTATTTAAAGTTATCTTTGTGTTTTGCCTTGTTGATGCATCTATTTACGTAGGGAAAATCATTAGAATTCATCTCATGATGTTTCAAATAAGCATCAACTTGTATGTTGTTATTTAAACAAAATATCAGCTGCATACACAATGTTATGTAGTTTTTTAGACTTTAATAAATGCACAAGGGATATACTTACTGACTGATTAAATTGCAGTGCCTCTTTCCAAATTTTGCTTGATTTCAACTGTGTGTTCCCCATAGAATCTCTCCAATTTTTTGTTGAATTTCATGTTTCTTTCGTTAATGTAATCAATATCAGCATCATCATTGTGCGTACGTCGTCTGCTGAACTTCTTGCGCTTAGCAATCCTGTCAAATTGAAGTACATACTATGTATTAAGAAACCGTAATTAGAATGAGATTTAGACATCACAACTAGTAAATAACACTGATTATAATGTATACATTCCATACAGAGGACATCACCGCATACAACTGGGGGATTTCCAAAGTTGAAACAATAGGACGTATTTTCATAATATTTTTACCTATTTGAAGTTTTTCTAATCAAAATTTAATTAATTTTTGTCTTAATTTCTTCTTGACTTTTATCATTTTTAAGAGTCTCAAAAATGCATTCTAAGTAAATAACATCCTCTGACTTCCCAGACTGTTTCACTTTAGAAATCGCTGGAAAAAATGTTAAGCTCAGAAACCAAATGAAAGTTTAACCATTCAAAGCTAATTTCATACTTAAGTAAATTTCTTCTGAAATTCCTTCTGTTAAGATCATTTTTAACTAAAAGGAAAAAAAAAAGGTGATTACAAATGATTATTATGTTTTTGATCCATGGTCAACTAGGGGGCTGCTACCGCCTCAAGTTTCTTGGTTACCCACTTTTTAATTTTTTTTTTCATTGAGTTTTCAAGCTGTCCTAGACACTATTTCCTTCATTTCAATTTAAATTCTTTTTTTACTCGGTTACTAAAAATTATCAGAATTATAAAGAATGTGAGGAAATTAATAATTTTTATATTTTTTCTTCTAATTTTGATGGATTAATATGAAAATGTATTTAATTGAAACAAATTTACTTACTGTTTTTCTAAATCCTCGACCATTCTGTCAATGCCTTCTTTTGAATCTTTGTGCAAACCGTGTAGAATGGTGTTTTTGTCTCCGTAGAAAGCACCTCCCAGTTCAGTTTTCTGTTTCTCATAAATTTCCATATTTGGCTTTAAATTGCGCACTAATCTGTTGTATTGTCGGGCAGTTGCTTGCTCATAGTCTGAGAATCCTGGATCAGCATTTTTCTTCTTTTTCAGACGTTCAAACCGTTCTGCATCTACCGCTGAGACATTGAGGAGTTTGAGCCGGTCATAATCTTCATTCTAAAAAAATAGCAAGAGGTTGATTACCTATTTTCTTTGCTTTCTTTCACAAGATGTACTTTTTCATGAGGTTTAAAATACAGAGAAACAAATTTTTGGATTTCAAAATTCCCTAACTTTTCTGGGTTTTGAAAAGTAAAATTTACTGATTTTTACCTGTTTTGTCAACGTTGTTTTGATAAAAAACTTGGGTAATCACAAGGAAGCACCGAAAAGATTCTCCTCCCCCCTCCCCATCCACTCCTAAGTCAATCTCTTTCGGAAATGGATGTATTCCAAATAAGCAAAATCTTCATCAAATTTTGTATGCAGCAAGTGATCAACAATAGTGTTTTCAAAATTGTATGTGCTGGACTAGCTGCCATTAGTAAGTAACTTACTAGTTAGTAGTTCAGACTGGATGTCAACCGTTATGCCTATGTTTTTTAAAGAATTTTCCACAATAATTTGAGGCTTATACTTCCAAAATTTTTAATAGATTCTATATACAGATTAAAAGACTTGTAATAACAAAAATTACAGCAACAACTGTCAAGTGAATCATTACAAAGAGCTGAATTTAAAAGAACCATTGGCATATCATGATATCATGCTTTGGGATGAATTGATCGATCTGCCTTTTAAGCCTTTAGAAAAGGATCGATTATCACAGTGTAAATGAACACCTTACGAGTTGATTCTTTACCTCGAGTTTAAACAGTTTGAGTCGAGAGAGTATGTTGATAGTCAATTATTAACGCTTTGCCACTGAAGAAAAGAGAACATGGTCAACCCAAGATCAATAAAAACTTTTGAAAGTAACACAAACTAATGTCTAAAAAAGTACTGGCGAAAGTGTCATTCAGAAAATTAGAATAATTGAATATTTAAGCAATCAATGAAAGTTTCACCTTTTCAGCAGCTTCTTCTCGCATTTTTTCATCATTCAGGATCCACTCTGCTTTTCTTTTTCGGGCCTCCCAGTTGCTGGGTAATTTGTTTCTTTTATCTTCTTCCACAACTTCTTGATGATTCAATTGTCTAGCTTCATTCTGTTGACAAAATTTACGATGAATAATTGACGCTCTTTAATTAATTGAGAAGTGTCAACGCTCAACTATGCTATACAACCTGACACATAATGATAGAATCATAACAATTGAAATAAGTTTATGCACTTTTAGACTGTTACAGAAGATGCATCCATTTACTTTCCATGTTAGAAGGGCAGAAGATATTCTGTCGCAGTGCATAAATGCATAAACTTATTTTGCGTTGATTCTCAGCAGATTTAAGTAGAAATTTTTATTTTTGAAAGAACCTTGCACACTCGGAAATATGTACCACAGTTGATTTCCCATTTTCCTTATTGCATTCAACTCTTTCATGGAATGAATGCTGATCAAGAGTCATCATTGCGCCAACTTTCTACGAGCTACTGTTTTCTCACAATCCTTGGTTGAAGTTTCAGTAATTCCATGAATAAAAGAAGGCAGTGCAGCGGACACGCATCAACAAGGCCCCTCTTTCTTTCAAATTTCGAGAACGTTCTAGATAAAAACAAGGAAAAACTCAGCTGGTGAGAAGTAAGGGGGAGGGTGGGAGAGAGAGAAACTGATTTGGATGCGCAACCTCTCATTATTCATGGAATTATCAAAACTTCAGCTGCGGATTGCGCAAGAACCCAACTTTGTCCGACCAAACCCACAAAAACCCAACCAAAATCCAGTAGCTCAGCAAGTTTGCACAATGATGACTTTTGATCAGCATCCATAGACCAGTTCAATGCAATAAAAAAATGGGAAATTGATTATCATAAACATCCCCATAGAGAGCGTGTTGGGTCCTCTCCGCAGAGAACCTAATGAAATCCTTGTGGATTGGGCAACCTACGGTACAGAAAATCCCCGATTGCAAAAATTACAATTTCGTGGCTGAGACTAGAACGCAGCTGCATATTTCGGGTGCAAAAGTAGTTTTGAACCATAAAATTAAATTTGCTTACAGACTAGACAAGTTCAAAAGACTGTACAACAGTGTCATCATACTTTCTACTCTAAGGTTACTGGCTGTTTGACTTCCTCTCAAAGAATGATGAATTTAAAAATCTACAAGTGTGTCTGTGATTTTCTTTACTACTCTTGCACAGTGTCCTTGAAGTATGTTATGCTTCTAATGCCCATAATGCCGCAGTTCATGATACAATTCTGATTTCCAAAATATTAGGCCTTAAAATAAAAAATATGTAGAGTTGATACGCAAAGCTTACTCTTTTGTTGTGGAGTTCTTTGAGTTTCTTCATTCTCTCCGCAAGTTTCTCTTTGGCAGAGACTTGGGACGTACTGCAGCCATCGTTGACTTCCGTTCCTGAGGAACTGCTCGCCTCCATGGCTGAGCGCTAGGTAGAAGGCTGAAGTGGAAGTTTCAAAAACGAAACCGATTTGTCTTTGAAACTTGAGGAGTGATTTAAATCCTAAATAATAATCATTACTAACATGCACCAACACAGACTTTGCAAATTGCAAACTACAAACGATTGATTGACCTAACCTATGTTAGTAAACAATGAAAGCAAAGATTATAGGAAAAAATAATGATGATCAACGCACAACACCTATCACCGTCACCGTCAACCACAATCACATTTGCGATTTGGGAAAATTTGCACCCCGACCAGGGACGAGTTCTATAGGACGCCGTTCTGTTGTGAGCGGGTGATTGCAGCGCATTCTCGCGTAGGATCCTAGTCAACTCAGAGGATCCTTCCCCCCGAACCTCGACTCATCCATCGCCCGCTCCCAAAGTGAGGTTAAGCCGGAGATTGAAAAATAACACATACGGCGGCTGAATTCTTGAAAAATAAGTATATTTTTGGCGTTTTTCGACCCCTTTCGTCAAGGAAGGGCTCGCCGCATGTAATAGTACGGTGAAAAATTCGATTTTTTGCAGTTATACGCGATCCTACGGATTTTAATGAAGTCCAACAACTGATAACAGCAGTGAGTTGCGAGGATCCTACGCGAGATAGCAGCACTAGTACCTGCTCACGAATTTTTACATTGACTCTTACGGGAGTCCAGGGTCCTATAGAACTGGTCCCTGCCCCGACGCTGAGAATTTTCAGTTTCTTTCTATTGTTTTTGTGTAATTAAATTTTAATTCAAGTGCGGGGCAGGCGTTGTATAATTTCGCGTCGCCTCCAACACATCATTCAAGTTCTTCCCTCAGAGGCTTCTACGGAGTTATCCCCGAGTCGGACCCCTCTCAGCTCTATATCAGGTTTGTGAATTAGGCTCAACCTTTGCCACCATCACACTTTATTTATGAAGTACCTACACAATTTAACCCAAGAGGATCACATCCTGTACTTAGTAGTACAATCTAACTGAACCCATCTGCTATGAAGTTTTGTCGGACTTCTCTCTGTTTTGAACGGTCGACACCATCACCTTTCAGCTGAGGCATTGGTAAGAACTTAGCGATTAAGTACATACATATTCAAGAATAAGAATCAAAATTATTGCGGTACAAACAGCGTCAGGTGATCCAATGTCAGACAAAAATGCACCTCTTTTGGTGTCGGAAAGCTCTATGATCGCAGCGCAGTCGGGCAGTTATTTTCGCATGTTGTCACGGTTTTGCTGCGCTCCTTCTCTCTAAGCAACTCTCTTCGTCGAAGTTGAGATATCTCTGAAAATCATGCTCAAAATAGATAATTTTACCAAGAAATTTTAAAGTAACCAGGAAGGAAGCAATTAATTTACAGGAAGATATATTTTCTTAGGTGTTTCATCAGATTTATTACAAATGTCAAATGAAAAAAGGTTGTCAAGAGTTTAAACTTTTAAGAAATCTCTGGGGGATCTTGCTCCCTCAACTCCCTTTTTACCTGTAGGAGGTATCCTATTTCCCTCGGGACTCCTTTTAGGGCACCTAGCGGGTATAATGTACTCGGTAACCAAATTCACAGGACGCCATCATCTGGTATAATTACTGAAACTGAGCAATATTGAAACGTTGAAAAAAGAAAGATGTGTGGAAGTCACAACTTTTTTTACACTCACTAAATTTTTCTAGCCTTTTCGTTCCTTTATTTTTTTGATGACCAAACTAATTCGACTGTATTTTTTTGGCAAAATTTAATTATTTCAGATGATGATGAGTACTTTTATCTTATTGTATACATTGATGCTTGCGAAAATTCTATTCAAGGCCAGCAGGTCATGTGACTTGCATGAAAATTTTCATCCAGAGCATTGCCCAAGAAATTACTAACCTGAATGTTTTGACCGTTCATTGCCTAAGCTTTCAGTCGCGGAGAGAAAAACACTCCTTGTTCTTACATATTTTTATAAAGGAAGCTTTAAGAATCTAATCTCTACTATTTCAGGGGAAGTGTGCACTAGGAAGACCTCTGGACCGCGTAAAGTTCTATGCGTTTCGGAACTTACCGTCCTCTCGGTTTCATCACCTCTGGAGTGTCTTCCATTAATTTTTGAGTCGTGTGAGGATTTGGAATACCAAGATTCTTTAAGCCAGAGTTTAGCAACATGTTCAAATAAAGTTGTTTCTTAGGTCTCGATAAATTTTGTATCTCACATGTTTCATGTTAAATTCAGAACTATTTCTTATTGCACCTAAATTCCTGCACCTTGATCACACACAGGTACTACTGGCTTCCTGTTTTTCCATGTGCTCTCGGATGAGTGTGCACTGTATTTATGTTTTCAGTTCAGGGAGATACTCCATGAAAAAATATCGATGTTTTTCGTCTGTTATGGGCTTGGGAACCTGAAAAGATAGTGGATACTGATGCCCCCCTACTGTTCGTTGATTCAAAAATTTCGTGTCTTTTTTCGTTGGAGGTGGGGGGAGGGAGGAGGAAGAAGGGCAGTAAATCAAACTTGACGAAGGCCCTTTGGTGTAATGTGCGTATTAGTTAAGCTATGGTTTTTTTATTTTTGGTTTTTTTTTTTATGTGCAACGATAAATTAGATGAGGTAAGTTACAATGTTTTCAGGTTTTATCTATTTCATAAAACTAATTTTGCACTGATTCATATAGCGCAATGTAGCAAGTGATAATTTTTAGAAAAGGAAATTCCTGAAAATTAAGTGATTTTGATGGTCTGCTGAAACACTCCAAGGTGTCAAGTACTGTAGTGTAAAGCAATGCACCTGCTCTGCCCTTTGTGCTTCATTCTAAATTTTACATGAGAAAAGATTAGTGAGATCCAGATTCAGAAGGAAAGTACCTAATCTTTTCCTACCAAAAAATTGTTAAATCTCTGAAACAGAGGGAAAGTGATTAGTGTAAGTGTCAGGGGGATCAACCAAGCAGGTTGCGGGCAGACTGTGAAGACCATCAAAGGTGTTGCTTGGCAGAAAGACTCATCCACTGCTCTTCTCACCACGAGAGTGTCACCTCAAGCCCAGGTGTTGTGCCTGAACTAAGCGATGAAGAGAAAACAGTCGCGGCACGTTTTGGTCTTGGAAACAAGGTAGAGTCAAAGTGGCAGATAGGAACTTCAAGGGTGCAGAAGATACTTGTGCCTACGAGCCCTGAAAAAATCCGTGAGTTGGAGAGGAAACTCAAAGTTAGCTTTTTTCCCAGCAAAAATTGAGGTGATAAACCCCTGATAATCAGTGCAATTTTTGGAATTTTTTGGCTTTACACATTCTGTTGACCTTCTTGCATAGTTGAAAAATTTTAAGGCTGAGATTGTGAGTAATTTTTGCTCTGGAATTCTCTGAAATTCATCTGTGACTTATTATTGAAGGCCGTTTTAATTGTATACCAGCTCTCTGGCTGAAGCGTGCTGTGCACTCTAGCCAAAAATCAGTGAGAATAGTTGGTTACTGGGCAAGAAGGTGAAGCAATAGCAGAAATCATGGAGTTTTAATATTTCTGAATTTTTAAAAATGGAAATGTGGCTGTCTCTGTACAGCTTAAAGTGGGTGCTATCAAAAGTTTTACTCTCCTAATTGTTCACCTCATCATAAGCTTTCATTTGAGCCAGATTTCAGTGCCGTATCAATTCTTGTGGATGCCCTTGAAAATAATGATTGAACACTTCATGCAGAAATTTTGTAAGCATTAAGATTAATAATACTTACCACCTAGGAAGAGGTAAAATTTGCCAGCTGTTGCCCAAAAGAGTGTATCTGCACCGTAATATCTCAAAATCTCTGCGTACTTATTATTTATAAAACAAATTATTGTTCGTCATGTGAGAAGGTAGCCGAAGTGCTAAATAAAAGTGTAAGATGGACTCACATAAAAAACTGTTTTATTCTTTGTCATCAAAGACCAATTAGACCAGTTTTTTATGTAAGAAAATCTTACACTTTTATTCAGCACTTAGACCACCTCCGCACGTAACAAATTAAATACACAAGTACTACTACCACGATGTTACGCCCTAAATAAACCTCACTCCTTTAGGTTTGGATATTTTAGAGAGGCTATCAGAAATGTGAACAAAAATTGCATAAACACCCCGAAAAATTAGGAAAATGGTTCATTCGTCATAGATGGAAGGTTTGGAACACTACAATGTAGATAAGCCTTTGTGTGCGACAGGCAACTAATTTCCCAATGATTCCTGCAATTTTCACATTTTCATGTTAATGGATATTTCTTGCCTCTGTATTAGTAGTAAACAAAACGAAATGGAATTATTTTTAAGGTCTTATGTATAGTGGTAAGTGGCTCCTATTGATTTTCAGTACCATCACCATCCAACATTTATGGGTTTCCTAGGCTTTACATTCTCTTTAAGGTGATTCGATGGACGCCATATTTTACGTCAGAACGACATGCGATATATTGCATCGTTTGGTCCCTTTTTTCCAGGTACTCATCATTCTTCCCGAATTTTGAGATCGCAATTTTGTTGCCAGGAGACTGCAGAATTCACGTATCAATTTTGACACACAAATTTAACTTATTAAGGGCGTGTTTTTTTTAGAGGAGAAATATCGCATTTGATACTGACATCGAAACTGCACTCGAATGCGATATTTTTCCTTCTAAAAATTCACGCCTTTCATATGTTGGATTTGTTTGTCAAAATTGATAAGTTAATTCTTTAGTCTCGTGGCAACAGAATCTTAAAATTCGAGAAAAATGACGAGTAGCTGAAACAATGGGACCAATCGATGTGATATATCGCATGTCATTCTGAAACAGACTATGGCATCCATCGAATCACCTTAACGCGTTCATGCAAGAGTCAAAACAATATTGTGAAATTCCAGGAAAAATTTCTGATGTCACCAGTTATTTTCCAAAAAATGGATTCGTTTATAGAGTTAGAGGTTGTGCCACCAAGTCTCGAAATTAATATTGCAAAATTTCCGGATTCCCACAGTTTATCATTTTTACCGCTACAACTCTGGGTCTAAAAAAAAAAAAGGAAGCTTGAAAATCATGTCTAGTCTTGATATGCCTAAACTAGATACTCGCTTTCCTATAAAGGTGAACAAATTTCTTCAACCCTCTCTAAAATAGATCCTAAAAGCCAAAGCTTTCAAGCCACTGACAGCAACAAAGTTAAGTGGCCGTTACTTTGTTTGTTTTGGTTTTGATAAACTTCTCCTTAATTCTTACTACAAAAATATTTATTCGTACCTGACTACATAATGCCATCCAATCGTTTTTTGTTTTGTTTTTGTTGCTCATGCATTGATTGTCTCATTCTTGCTGTAATAAAATGTCTCCAATTTTGATTCTAATGCCACAATTTATTTTTTCCTATGATTTCAGTGCGTTCGGTTTACCAACAGAGTTTTGTTCTTTAATTTTACCATCAGTGTTTATTTTATTCGTGCAACGTGCAAATTACGATCCACGTTTTGGTGCAAGTGTTGTGTTTCTTGACTTTTATCGTCGTAATTTACTATTATCGACAAGAGAGCTGCAATGAAGCTATCTAGCTGATATCTTTATTTCACGTAGTATCCAAGGATGGAAAGCTACTCATACTCTGGGAACTCCGGTTTTTTCGATGATCTGGACATAGAAGGCCGAAATTTTGTCATTGATGAATGGCATGCTGAAGAACCATTTGCAAAGACAAACCCTGAAAATCCAGGCCCTATAGAGTCACCGGTAAGGTTGCTTTTTATACATTTTTCGTTTAATCTCTTAGATTTTGCCCTCAGTTCTCGTACCCTTAATGAAATTCTAAGAACTTCACTCCCCTTGAAGGAACTTCAATTTGTTGTCTCCCATTTTTTCCTCCTCTGATCGAGAGAAGATACCTAATTTAGAATTTCAAAGCATGGTTATTTTTGCAGAGTTTCTAGAAAGACTCAGTTAAGTCAATTAGAATTTCCTAAGGCAGAGAAACAAGTATTATAGAAATAGATGAATTTTTAAAAGCGGTCCTCTGCCTTCTCCATTAGTTCAGAGTGTTAATTCACAAGTCAGCCATTTTGCGTTACTGTGATCAGCAATTATTCCTATTTTGAGCAATTTTCCACCAGCACCATCAAATATTAATTTTTCAACAAAGTTGATTGTAAGTTAGCACCTTTAAATATCTCATCCTTTAAAGTGACGTTTATTTGGATTAAGTGAATGCTTTTCTGGTTTAAACAATTGTTGATGAAATTTTTGTATGGAAGCATTGGCTCTCAGAAACCTCAGATTGCTGACATCATAGAATCGTGGAAGCTGCTAACTTTGACTGTTTTATGCTCTTTTTTTCTTCTTTTTTTACCCTCCGTCATAACTTTTTTTAGAATTTTGAAAGGGTATTTAATTTTGGAGGCTCCCCAGTAAACTCCTGCAACCAATTAATTGCGAAGCTATCGTAAGGACGTATATCGTAAGAGTCCATGCCGAAAGAGTTTGTGCACTTTTAGAGTGCAACAGGTGATCAGCTGTCTTCAATTTAGCATTGAAAGTAAATGCAAGAATCAAGATGATCTTCCGCCGCCTTTTGAAAGGACATAAACCTATTTGGTGTGAACTCTACCAAAATCTCTGTTGTTGGTAGCAAAAAAGCTTTAAATACATTGGATGCTGTGAAAATGAAGTAATTTCATAAATCCTTTTCGTTTTTAGAGGAAATGAAATACTCACTAAGTAAAGTGTGGTTAAAATTCTAAATGGATATAACCCAGAATTGTCTCAATGAAGTATAAGGAAGTGCAAGGTCTATGAACAAATTACAGGATTAGTTAATAAAGTGGTCAGTCAGAATTTATTGTCATAGATTTTTCCAAGATGTGCACAGATAGGGCTCATACAGAATGGAGCAGACTGTTCAATGTGCTTTTCAACTCATGACCATTTAAAAATAATCAGAAAATAAATTACTAACAGCTGAATTTTCTCTCTCCTGCTTTTTTCCACCTTAAAAGTGTATCAGAATCAAACCTATTTTATCAAAAGCTTTTTAGTTTGATTAAATTTACCCTGAGTGATTCAACCAATATTTTTCTCAAGGGTTCTAGAGTCGAAATCCAAAATCTGAGAAAAACAGGAAGAACTGTGCAGTCCAGTGTGCGCTTAGAAATTTGAGTCTAGAAAATGTGTGTGTCTGAAGAATATTTATTTGAACCGGGCGCAAAAGACTTAATAAGAACAGGAGGAAAGAAGGATGTAAACTTGCTTTACGAAGGTCCCTTGGAATTCTGGTCAGATGTGAAATACTGAAGCTTGGGAGTCCAAGAAAATCAATCCTAAAATGACAAAAATCAATGCTGAATGATTGACGGGTTAATAATTTTACAAAGAAACAAACTCCTATTGTAGCATCGCATCGTAGCGGAAAAGAATCGGAAACCTCTACTTGCTTCTCTTGCTGCATTTCTGTTGGGTTTTCCCTGCATGAAAATATTTTTCCGCAAAAATTTTAAGTAATCGCTCCTTGTAATTTTTACCCTTAAAGGGAGATAATTTTTCTAGTAACAACCGTTTCAATGTGGGAATATCTTCCTCTTCACCTATCAAGAGATCGAAAATACTTTACAAAGGTCCCTTGTAATTCTGGTCAGATGTGAAATAAGCTTGAGAGTCAAAGAAAATCAATCCTAAAACAACAAAAATCAATGCTGAATGGTTGACGGTTTAATAATTTTATATAGGAACAAGCCTTCCATGGCTGAAAAGAGACATCTTTTTTCCATTTGTGAGGATAATACTCATAATTCATATTTTGTTCAAGAACCAATTTTTAGTATAAGTTGAGAAAATTTTTTTTTTTAAAAAAAATAGCTTTTCCCGCTGTTTTATTTGGTACAAAGTTATCAAATCTCTTTACCGGTAATTAAAAGAGAAAAATTGTAGATCTCTTGCCAATTTTGTGGTGATCCTCCCTTTATTGTGCTTTTAATTTTTCTCATTAAGTTTGAATGAGTGCAAATATATAAGTTAAAACATTTGCGGCAGCTTTTTGTCAATTTTCGGCAACAGTTCAGTCATATGATGGTTGACTGCGATATCTGTGCTCATGAAGTTTTCATTATGGATGTAAAATATTTCTTTTATCTATTCTTAAAACAAACAGGTAAGTTTTGTAAGGACAATTTTTATTTTTGACCTCTTGGTTCTAGCAAGAAAAAAAACTCCTAGTCTTTTCATTATCTTAATACATGAAAAATTCTTCAATGTTCAATTTACCATTTATGAAAATTTTTAAGTATGCGCCGTGATTTTTCTTTTAATTTTGAATTGCAATCCTTTCACTTGTTTAAATGAAAAAGATTTTTGGTACGATCATAATTGCATTGCTTCTGTGGAGCAAAATCTGGATTAAGGCTTTTCACCTGATCGAATATAATAATTCTCTTCCATGCAATTTCATTTTACACTTCTATCCTAACTCATAGCTACAGATAAATATTTATAGAGGCACGTGAGACAAATATATGTTTTATGTATCTGTCTAATGCTTCTAGTAATGTTATCCTCTTGTTTGACGGTTTTTTTTCCAGGAGAGATCAGTCTCTGACTGGCTAAGTGAAATTTAGTTGATAATGTGAAGTGATTTTGGTTTATTTTCTACTTAAATTGTGCGCAATGTTATGTATTGTTCACGTGCTTTTCTGGATCTTTCCTGAATACAGCGGTGGATGTTTCTACTCACCTTCCAACTTCACGAAATCAAAAAGACGTGTCTCACATAATGATTAGTCTTTTCGTCCGTTTTGAGATACTAATCACCTGTCATTCAGAATTGTCATGCTGAAATTACAGCAGTCTCATGGCTGCTGCTTTTAAAGACAATCCAAGATTTTAGATACTGGAGGAACTCTCAAAGTATTTAACTTCTGGGCTAATTTGACATACTTTTCTCTCTCGGAAACGTCTTCAGCTGTAGGTTTATTAACTGATATCCTGTCATTTTGGGCGGTAAGCATTAAGTCCAAGGAGGGAGGCTTTGAGGTAAAGTGGAGCAAAAATCTACTTGAGTCTACTTGAGTTCTTTATGAAGGTATTGATTCCTTTTGAACATCGAACATAAACTGCACCAACAGTAGTGATCCGTGATGGATTTCATAAGTGGGATTCTTGGAATGCACCAGCTTTAGGATTCTGGGGTAGCTCCGCCCTGATCGGTGGGCTCCTAAAAATGTTATCTCGTTAGATGACTTAAGTGTGGAAATTAATTTAACTGTATGACAACATTAAATCGTCTCAGGAAATAGCAATATGGCTGCCTGAATAGGAAAATTGTTCACAGATTTCTCTCAGAACTTATGAACGCGAGCATAAATTCTATGTCTTGAGTGATAAGAACAAACCTTTCCATAAAAGTGTTGTTTAGTGTGAAAGTCGCTCACGAGCAGTAGGTAATCTTGGGGGTGTTAGGGTTCTTTCATGCGGTTGGCCTGAAATAAAATGTTTTCCTTGTACCTTTATTCTATGATGAAGGATATAATCAAAGCCTATGCTAGTGCCGCGATCATGTCTTCATCTTTACTGCATATAAAAATCATTACCCTTGATTTGTTTGATTTTTCATATTTCTCTTACCTTTTGAACAGTGTGTATAGAGTGTAACACGTCTTTTATCTGTTCCATCCAGCCGGCCGTCTCAAAAGATCCAAAAAGCGAAAATGATGAGAAGAAGTGGCTCCTCACAGTTGTCAAGCTTGACGATGGCACAATGGGCTTCGCTCACACAGTTGACTCGATCGGTGTCATGTGGCGATGCCACCCTTGCAACATGGTCTTCGAAGGCAAGGACATGTTTCAGGAACACATCAATACAGAGAAGCATAAAACGGTTATGGCCCGACCACATCACAAGAAAGTCTTTTTCACGAAACTTGTCGGTAAGTAATGAAAGTAAATGCTTCTCAGTCGATTAGTGTAGCTTGTAGCAGCTCATTTTAGGAAGGAATTCACCCCCCTCAGGGTCTTTAAGTTCCTGCAGTGCAATTGTGCATTTATGAAGTTTGATTGTGCTGTCTTTGTCTTTGCATTGATTTGAATATCATTGATTGACTAGAATATGAGTCTCAAAAAAATTAATCTTAAATTTATAAGAAGTATGCTCTTTTATTATCTTTTAAAAGTAGCAATTTTGTTCACAAGATAAAAATTCAGATCAAACATGCTTAATATTTTAGAAAATGTCAGTCTAGGTATCGAGCTGATAGTGTAGATTGGAATAGCATTAATTAAGTAAAGTTTCCGCTATCTTTGGTAACTTTCTACCTTTCTTCCAAGCACTTCTCCCTCCACTGATAATGTCATAGGTGAAATCGATAATATTATAAATTATATTGGCAATATTATCGGTTTCAGTGATCGGTGCTTTCACTAAAGTTTTGACCTATCAGAAAAGGGTGTTGTAGTTCAGTCAACTACAAGCGAGAATTTTGATTCCAAAATTAGTTAAAATCATCTGGATGCCAAAACTTAAATTGCTATTAAGGTGATTCGATGGACGCCATTTTTTGTGTCAGAGCGACGAGCGATATATCGCATCGATTTGTTCTATAATTTTAGCTACTTGTCATTTGTTTCGAATTTTGAGATCGCACTTCTATTGACATGAGACTGAAGAATTCATGTACCAAATTTGATGTATTAAAGGCGTGGTTTTTTCAGAGGAAAAGTATTGCATTCGAGTGCAGTTTCGATATCAGTATCGAATGCAATATTTTTCCTTTTAAAAAACCGTGCCTTTAATACGTTAAATTACTTGATCAAATTTGGTACATGAATTCTTGTGCGAATAGCACCAATGCGATATATCGCACGCAGCTCTTGACACATAAAATGGCGTCCAATAAATCACCTTAATGTTGATTTAGCATTGATTTTGCCACAAAAACCAACTAAAGAAACATTAGGTTGGATAGAATACTGTCAGCAAATTTGTGTCTTATGGATTTGTATCGTAATAATATTTAAAAGTAAAGAATTATCAATTTTGATGCAGCAAGGAAAATGAAAATTTTTAATACAAAAGCTAAGATTACTTTAACAGATAACAACTTTCTCCAAAAGACTTTCTAATTGCTGAGAAAAATCGACGTTTAGGAATCAAATTTGTCCTTATAGAGCTTTTTACCTGTCATTCATATAACTGATAATTTTATTCCCCAACAGTCGAGGCACCTCACATTGAACCAGGCGAGCCTGTGCCACCCGGGTTTGAGGACATCATACAAGATGTGTGTCAACTTCAATCAGCCTTAGACGAATTCAATGAAGCGCCAATTATAGGATTGGAATTCCTTGTTGAGCTGACAAATCCAGATCCAGCTAATGAGCCCCGCTACATTTGCTTGTTATGTGACAAGAGAGGTGATCCGCGCAGTATTCTCAAGCACATGACCAGTCAGAGTCATTACCAAAAGTACTTGGTAAGTCTTTAGTGCTGGTTTAAAAAATCATCTGTAACATGTTCATTGTCAATGTGTTCTTGGGAAATTGTTCCTGTCAGGCCAGTAAGGCGAGTGAAAAACAGCAGAATTCCAGCGCTTTAAACCATGGTCTCCCTTGATCGCCGTGATGTTAGCGCTTTTTGCTGATCGTAAGGTCATATACATAACATTATACCATACACCTTTTTACAGTTAGTTCTTTAGAGGGCCCTTAGACACTGTTATAGCACGTCAGCATGTTCAAAACACCATGGTCACTTTGACCGTAAGGCTTGGTGCCAGTTGCAAAAAGATGGTCTCTGTTATCAGCTTATCAGGGAATGTATTTCGGGAAATGGGTCAATTGAGCTGAATACAGAATCGTGTTTTGATAGTTTGAGCTTCTAAATCAGCAAATAATAATAAAATGTGTTCAAACGTCAAGTTTCTACGTCCACTATTACAAGAGATATCGCTCATTGAAAAACACAGCGCTTGAAATCATCCACCACGGTTGTTTTCTCCATTTTAGTTTCATCAATCGGTGAGACGCCCATTTGCACTGGTTTCTCAACGTAGAAAACGGATGAAACCAAGGAGGAAGAAACCATGGTATGCTATACTGCGGTGGATGATGTCATACATGTTGTATTTTGATGAGCAATATCTCTATCACTCAATACAATTAAACTAGGCGTTTGAACAAATCTTAATATTTTTTTGCCAATCTATGATTCAAACCATCAAAACACGATTCTACGATCAGGACAAGCGATTCATTGGCAACAATTAGATTGCTTGTAGTATTTTCGTTTTTGCCTGTACTGGGATTTTCATAACATAAAGAAATGAAACCAATTTCAATTACTTTGTAATAAAAGAAGAAGATTTCTCCTCTTTCATGCTTTTCTTCAGCTGATCATATGTAGAGCTGTTACAATTTCATTTGGACTCAAATCAGAATCTCTTCTGCAAGCTTGTCTCTCAGAAGTCAGCCAAGCGCAAATTTAGTCTTGTAAGACTGAGTCTCCAATTTTAAATTGGGTAGAATTTTTAGCTTGTGGATAAAAGAAGCAGTTGCTTTAGCCCTCAGCAAAAAGCCAATGAACAAACTTTTGTTTCAAAGATCTTAATCAATAAGATGATAGAGGGCAAGTAAGTAGCCTGTATCCTAGAAGTACCTCTCACTAATTATATTCCATTCTTTGAAAACTCATCAGATTTTTTTTCTGTACTTTCCAGGGACGGTATTTTCGATTGGTCTATGTGGCTCTGAACAACATTCCAAAACAACCCAGCTATAAAAATGGGCTCTGCCTACTAACTCAATACATTGTAGGGAAAATCGAAGAGCGCTTCGGACGTCTGAGACCCAAAGTCATGGAGGAAATAAAATTCAATCAGCCAGGTGAAAGAGCAGAACTAACCGCCAAAATTGATGGAGAAAGGCACTTCAGGTAAGTGTGGCCGCAAAGTTGTCTTATTTTTATAGTCTATTTTCATACATTCTATAAGCTTAGTTATTATGTAGAAACAACTATGTAACTTGGAGAACGGAAAACTGAAAGCGAGCGCAGACCCTTATTTTTTTCCAGTCATTATTTTCCCTTCGATTTCAATAGTCAGTGCAAAACTTCTGTAGCCTGAGGCTGCAGTACATAGCACATGAGAATATCTTCGGAACGTGACAAAAAATTAATTTTCTTGAGACCGATAACCTCTGAAATACATTCAATAAAAATGCTTTTCATGGCTTTTGGTATGCCGTGTGTAGTATTTTTCAAGGGAAAACATGCAGACAAATTCGCAATGAACGTTTCTGAATATTTATTTCCTTGATAAGTTATCTAAATGATTAAAAGTGATTATCAATCTTTAAACTGAGAAGGCCGAAACACAAGTAAAAGTATAGAGTTGAAAGTAGCGGTTACTTTTATCAGATTTTTTCATTCATTCTATGTATCATTTGTGAATACTTGGCTCCCTTGCTCAGCCATTTTTTAATGTATCTCTCATCAAATCTATGATATGTTGCAGGGAAACTGATGAGGATAATTTTGCAGAATTAGTTGATGTCAAATATGTGAAAGATCCTAGACTTCTTAGACCTGGTAAGAATTTTTCCCAGCAAAAAGCTGTTCATATTGCAATTTTAAGGCATTGACGGAATGACGGGTCAGTCATTTATCATAATATTAAGTTTTGATTATTGAGTCTCATAGAGCAGGGAATAACAAGACCCATTGCAATGCTTAAGTCTATTCTCAATAACAAGAATATTAAAAAAAAGGCAGTGTATGAGTATCACTCTTAGCGGAGCACTGTATATAATCGCATTCATCACTTTTGTATAATTATGATCAGTGGTAATTGAAAGTTGTACTGTTGATTCTACCAACATTGTAAGTGATGTCATTTATCATGTATGTATTTCATAGTGCGGTATTTCCATTAATATTTTACGTAGAAACTTGGCAGTTCAACATATCTTGTTATTAATTCCTGCAAGACTTTACTACATATGAAAAGCAATTCAACTACACTTGCCACTTAATTATCCAGGTTGTTATGACCTTAATAATTTCATTTTTATTTGTACTTGTAGTCAGTCAGTGGCCTCCTCATTTACATCCTTCTTATTCACTTTCTACAGTTGAACCACCACCACCAAGTCAAGATCCAGGCGAAGAAAACTCCAAAAGCAGGTGTGTATGTTTTTACTTTCAAAAGGGGGGGGGGTGGGTTTGATTAAAAATGATTACTCTCTCTCCGATGGTTTTTTTACTTAAAAGTGTGAAGGACGTTTTGCTAGTTTACCAAATAATCTGGGCATAAATGTCTTAGCCAAAGTTGCTGCTTTTGGAAAAAAACAAAGCTTTAAAATTTGCTTAGTGGGAAAATCAATAGAGAAAGGTGGGGGGGGGGGTAAAAACTGAACAGAGTTTTTCTTTTTTTCTATGTATTTCTCTACACTAGGTATTGAAATCAAAAATAATTTCTTTAAATCAAATTGCACGCCAACGTTCAAATCTCCTGAACAGTAGTTTCTCTCTTGTAACCAAATACAAACAGGGTGGCTGGATTTCTGAAAGTCAGGGGAAACTTGGTGTGATCAGTGTATTTTACTCAACTATAAAAGTCACAGGAAAAATCAGGAAACTTTGCCGTCAAATGTTCAAATTTCACATTCTTGGATGACTGCAACGGCATCCATGAGCCCTAACCAGATTTCGTCTTTTGACGAGTATTTTACTGCCAATTATTACCAAAAAATCTGTGGAAAATCAGGAATTTTTTTACTCAACAATATTGATAAGTTGGGACGACACCCATTTAAAATTTCAAGAAACTAGTCATCCCACTATAGCACTAAAGTAGACTCACAGAGAATATTGCCATGTCGAGTCTTGCGGCTGACTTCAGTTTATAGTTATAGTTACATGAATATCATATACATTGAATGTTTTTAGCAGCACCAGTAGTGATAAAGGTCGAGTTCCTTTCAAGTCTAAACCAGTTACAGGGAATATCCGAAAACGTCAAGAGTCTCCAGAAGTTGTTACCCTCGGTGAAAATTCTCCAGATAGTAAAAGTGAATGTAAGTTTTTCATTTTCTAATTTAAAATTTGTAAGTCCCTTTTTTCTAGTGGCTAGGCTTATTTCATTTGTGTCCAACGTCAAATAGATCAGATTGATTGAGTGACAAGATCTTACTGCATCAGACATCTTGAATTGAACCACCCCAAAAATTAGTCCCCATCGCTGCTAGAATTCAAACCATTTTTTCTGCACCTATCTTGAAGAATTATAAACGTTCTGGCCTGTTCCATTTTTCCAAGCCAAGCTGGCGTGGTGTAAGGAGGTGGTAAATGTTCTTAATACATATACCAATGAGCAATATTGCTACTTGAATTATTTCCAAATAGTTTCAATGTCTATTATTGTTAGGTATTAAGGGGTTGAAAAATGTTTCCTTTTCAAATATTTATAGGATCCTTAAGGGAGAATCCCAAATTTTCATGACCCAAAAATTTGTACAGATAACTAAAAAGTCAAGAAAATCTAGAAAAAATTACTACACTTTGAAAGTGCCTCCCGCAAAATGAAATACACCCCTATAATAAAGCTGCCAAGAATCTTCAAATATTTTCCTGCTTCCCCAATTAAGACCCAACCAGCTGTGCTGAAGAAAAACGCTGTATGAACATTTGAGAGCTTTTAAATTCCCCTGGATATTACAAGTATTTTTAAGGAAAGTTGTGTTAAAATTTTCAGATATTTTAGATTGAACTGAAAACAAAATTTTTTGAAAAATTAAAAGAAAAAGGTTTACAACATCTCCATCAAATTCGTATTTTATGAAAGGAATTGTGGCAATGCCTGAAGGTTCATATGGCCTATGTTATTGCCATATGGATATGTTTTCCTAGCACATCATTACTCTACACACAGGCGCGTTTTTGGATCTCGCTGTAGCCATAGCCTTCACACTTACTCAACCAAACTTATCCGCATTTAGGTAGTCATGTATAAAGGGCCACTGCAATACCATATAAGTTGCTATGAAAAATTGTAGTTATTCTATCTCTATAGTCCTGTACAGGCCATTACAGTGTCATGGCCACCTGAAGGAAATAGAAAAAAAAGAAAACAATTCACAACCATATCAAATCCATAACACGAATTCATTGTAAAGTTGGGAACCTTTCAACGTGATTTTCTCCAAACAGGGTTTTGCCACGGAGCCCGTCTGCCGTTTTGGTCTCTTGGCCCATGAATTTTGTCAACAGTATTAAGCTGAGGAAAGCAAATTATGAATACTGTCTGTCCAAACAAGTGATTAGTGAAAATCTTGAAACCTTACTCTGAATAATTGGAGAATTTAATCTAATCATCTTGGTGACTCACAAGTTTTCACAGACTTCCATGCAAGATCCCTTGTCCTCAGCAACCTGGCATTAACCTTTGATAAATCCACTTTATTTGAAAACATTCAAGTTTTAACTGTTTGCCAGTTTTGTCTTCTATTTTCTGCCTACACTTTGTCTACAGCAAAAAAGTCACGGAAATCTTTGTCTCCATTGTCTCCTGATGACTCCCCGCAAGACTCGAGACGCTCAAGAGATAGGCAACGCTCCAGATCCAGGCGGCGATCGCGATCCCGCTCTTTGTCCAGAGGTCGTTATGGTGGTGGAGGTGGAAGACGGTAAGGCATTTGCAATATTTTATCAAAATTCACTGTACTTAGCAGTAAAAACACCCTGTAGAGTTGAAAGGAAACATGATGAGTTCGTGAGAATTCAATTTAAGGATGTTTTGTAAGTGTGAGATTTTAGGATTTGAAGACTAGGTCACGCAAAGAGAGACCAGGAATTTCTTGATTTTAAACATCTTGAAGAGAAAAATATCTTTAGAAATATCTACAAGAAAACAGAATTTTCAGTTGAGGATGTTCAATGGCTTTTGCATCAGTTATTGCAATGCAGGGATGACTGGGTTTAATAATAATGAATTAATGAAGTGATAATAGTCTACAGCATAAAAAGTGGCGACAGATGGGCGAGTCAGGTGCGCAACTTGATCTATTGCTCCAGGGTTGAAACGCAGATATATGTACAAATTCAAAGGACCTGGGCTCATCGAAGTCGATCAACCTCAGGCAATAGATCGAGCCGCTCACCTGACTTCATCCATCACTTGCTACTTTTCATGTCGAAGACCATAGAAGCTATATTTTTCATTGATATTCAATGCCTAATAAGATTATTTCAATTTATATTTGTAACATTGAAGGAAAACAACAAAGAAAGAAGGTGTTATACCAGCAGTAACTCTCTATTAATTAGCATAAATCTTAATTGTACAGGTTGCCGTATCGACGATCTCGTTCGCCTAGTTATCCTCGTAATCTCTCCCGTCGAAGTAGATCTCCAAGACGAATGAGGTATTCGCCTGGACCACGCCATAGACGAGATGGGAGACGCTATTCCAGGTCACGCTCCAAATCACGTTCCAGGCACCGGTCTCCACCATCATTCAGGCAACGCAGGTCCCGTTCTCGTTCTCCGTACAGGCCAAGATATAGACAACGTTCCCCGGTGTATAGAGACTCAAGACCGAGGTATCCTGATGAAAGGTGAGTTTTCATAAGTGCTCGTGCAGAGGATATTTCTTTTGGATTCTTGTCATTGAAGGACCCTGACGAAGAAAATTAGATACATCAATTATTAGTTGACAATTTTGAGTCCCATTTTAAAGACTCTGGTACTCGCAAATGCTGAATCAATAGCATATCAATACCACCTCGTACAAGTTGACAATACTGGGTTTTTTCATGTTCACATATCAAAGTGGAAACAGCCAGGAAAAATCTGGGAAAGACAACTAAATTTTAACAAACTTGAAAAGTTAGGAAAGGACCCTATTAAGAAAATCAAAGAAATCGGCGTCGGCTGAATTCCATCATTACTTGAAATGATGTCCCCCACAACATTTTAACGACAATAAACTTTCAATACCGAACTCACTAATAGCCAGTTTGGAAAAGATCGAATTTTTTGGCATTTGTAAGTAGAGCTCGTCTTCATCGCCAATATTTCAATCAAATAATAAGTGTTAAAAATGCTAAAAAATTCACTTTTCAGTCCTGTCTCTCTCAACTTTGACACTTAAAAAGTTTGATTTTGAAAAAATCTGATATCAAATAATAATGGAAGTTAGAAGGCACGGAATTCCCTGGTTTTAAGGGCAGGGTCCTGTTTTTATTCGGCATGAAGACTGCATTATTGACATATGATGACATACTTGACATATGCATGAAGACTGTATCATTATTCATTATGTAGGTATCAAAATTCCCAGGATTTTGTGCAACAATGTGATTTAAGTCTAGTACATATGAATGTGAAAGCCGGAGGATCTCCAACAAAGGTCAAGGGATTTCTTTTTTTTTTTTTTGTTAATAATCAGAGTAAAGTCAATGAGTTTTGCCAAAATTCGTTGGGGCGAGGGGAAAGGTCCTAAATTTTGGATGTTTAACTGCATACCAGAACGTGCCTTGATTTAACAACAACCTAGATCAAACAGCAATTTTTGCCTCATCTGAAAGTTGTTATGTGGAGGTTTTACTGTATTCATAATACTTTAGAATTTAAGAAAATTGGTGATTATTTCAAGTGCCCAAAAATTTATAGGTAGATATGTAAAGAAAAATTTCTACTGATAGTTTTTATCATTATTTATTATTGTTTTCAGGCATGTATACAGGAGGGAATCAATCTCCAGACGTGAAAAACTGAGTGAAGAATTGAAAGGCTTGGAAAGTAAACTGCTAAGTAAACTCAAGTATTATGAAAAGAACCCAGAGAAACACCCCATGTATCCGGAGGAGTGGAAATTATTCTGGAACCGAAGATTCAAGGAGCTCCAAGCATCTGGAGTTGATCCACTTCAACACGATTTTAAGCCAGAATGGATTGAATTTTGGACCAAGAAGATGGTGGAACTACACGAAGAAGATTTGAAGAAACAGACAGCTGAACTGAAAAAGAAAATAGAGGCTGAAATTGAACTCGACAAAGAGCGCACAACTGAACGAAGTAGAAACTCCAGAAGTCAAGAGAGGACTCGAAATACAAGTCGAGATAGAAGTCGAGAATCTAGTCGCCCACGTCAGCCAGATGTTTCAGTAAATGATATGAAGAACCTATGGAAAGCCTACACTGGCACAGAGATAAAAGTTGATTCTAATTCGAAGCGTTCCCCCTCACCTTGGGAAGATCCTAATTCTAAAGAGAAGAAAACAAAGAAAGAGTTGGCCTTAGAGCCTCTCGGATCTCCAATTTCAGATGATGAAGTTGATTTAGGTGATGATTTAGATAACATTTCAGAAAAAAGTATACCCGAAGTAACGTATGCCCCACCAAGACATTATTATCATCAAATGTATGATGAGAGAGGAATGCCTGTTTCATCAATGTATGCCCAAACCATGGCTAGATTCCCGAGGAAAGCAATGCCATTCGCCAAAGAACCGCTCAACGTCATCACAGTCATTAGAAGCATAAGTGTCCTAGAAGATCAGCTTGGGCCCTCTCTGGGTCCAAAAATTGTTGATTTACTGTCCTGCGCATTGGCTCTAGAAAAAGAGAAACCAAAATCTTCAGCTACTTTGTTGACGAATGCAAATATGGTTTTATTGGAAACAGTCAAAGAAAAGTTAAAAGGTCAATTTTTGGCACGGGTGATTCCCGGCAACTTGGTGGGGGCTGCAAAGCACGCTATTGCCAACATTGATGAATTGGTTAGGTTGGCTCCCCGAGCGCCATCTCCACCTAAGTTCACGCCAACCCCTGTTTTTGACAAACCCACGGATCCAATTCCTGTTCCAGGGGTAGGAACAGTAGACAAAGTTGCTATTGCTAATCAGATTGCAGCAACACTCACCGCTCAAGGAAGGACTGATGTTTCACAAGAAGAGTTAGAAATGTTAATCAACGCTGTTGTAGGAATGAGGGAGGCTGAAGCTCAAGGCGGTTCTGCAAATGTAAATGTGGAGCAGGTTATATGACCCGCAGCCGGCGCAAGGTCGCAAGACCCTGCGCCGCAGTACTCATCTAACAGCACATCTGCAGCTGTCTTTGCTCCTCCGAATCATGACTCAAAACAGGAGTTCCCTCCTAGCAGCACCGCTGGATCTCATTTCACTCAGACACAAGCTAGTGCACCTCACTACACTTCGGGCAGCAGTATCCCCCCTCAATTTCCTAGAAACCTTGATTCAGTGCTAAACTTCTCTCATGATAGGGCTGCAAACTCACAATATTCTCAAGATGGAGCAGTCGACCCAGTGCCAGCATATTCTTTTGCCAGTAGTGGTGCCTCCAAATACTCGCAAAACCGGGAATCAGTATCACCATACCCTCAGACTAATACCACTACATCCCAGTACTCTCACAATTCTGAACCTGATCCTCCTTATACCCAAAGCAGTAGTGCTGTATCTCCGCCCAACAGTGACTCCTTATCACAGTTCCCTCCCAATTCTGTTGTGCCGCAGTACTCTGATGAGTTTGATTCCGACTCAGATGATGAGCGTTTTGATCAGTTGTAGCAGTAAAAGATATTTCTCCAAATTCAGGGATAACCTGATCAAGTGGAGTACTTTGAGCCTCGTCTAATGCATGATCTGTCAGTTCAAGTGATTTTACGCCTAGTTTTGATAAAAAAAAATGGAAAAAAAAATCATATGCTCGTATGTTCATTGAGTGTTAAGTTTAAGCACAAATTGGTTGTCTGTGATTTACACTGTACTAAGACTGATCCAGTCACTTAACTGACTAAGGTGATAGGGAGTACATGTAACTTTTTTTATCTTTATCTGAGCAAGGTTTCTAGTGTCATGTTCCTCTCTTAAGAAGGAAATTTACTGAATATGATTGAAGGTTAAAGAAGGGATATGATTTTTGTTCAAATCAGCTGCTTCCTGCACAAACACTGTTCGATTGCGGAGGTGTCATATGATTAATCAAAGATATTGTACTGCTGATTAAGTTGCTCAAAGCAAAAAGAACTTTTTATTTTGTACTGTTGCATGCTGGACCAAAAATAAATTGATGCAATGAGAATAACTCAATTTGCAACTGAAATGGACTATGGCAGCCACAACTAGGATTGTTCAGCAGCCTTTTATACATGAATCAGTAGGCACCATGACCCAAAAGAGAATACAAAATCCAGTGGTTCCAGTATTTGCCTATTTTGAACTGCTCAAAATCTATGGAATAGTTGACGGTGGGCCCATTTCACCCTGGAAGTAGTTTTTCCATTGAATTTTCTTCTAATTGGTTGACAAAATTGGAAACGATAAGTAGGACACCAAAACTACTAACGTCACAAAGCTTTTTTATCAGAGAATTTTTTCCATCTCAATTCTTTTTCAAAGGATAATTGACTGTCCGGTTTTGATTTTAAGTGCAATGTTTTGTTTGATAACATTTTTATCCTAAAATTTCCCCTGTCAAAAATGTTGAATCTTATCCTGTAAATTATCACTTTTTAGTCAAGATCATGCTTGTCTATCATGAAGAAGTTGTTCTTGTTTGACCGATCAATTTGATCTGATTATTTCAAGTACAATCAAATCTTTTAAGTTACTGTTTTTTTCAAAGTCAAACTTTCTTAATTCTTACCTGTGACTTCCATTTCATTCTAATCTAAGTCTCTTGTTTCTTTTTGAACAAGATCATCAAATCTTATGTTCTTGTTTTAATTATTTGTGTGATCTCTCAAACCTTAGAAAGGAAAGGTTCACTCCAACATGTCCGAAAAATCATTTTAAATGCTTCTAACTGATTCTCTCTATTTCTAAATCGATATTCTCTGAGACAAAATTTACTTTTAAAGTAATAAGACATTCTGATATATTTTCCATCAGAAAAATATCAAATGAAAAGAACTTGTCAAATTCTATTTTGCATGTAAAGTTTTTTTTCCTCCAATGATGATTTTATATGCACTGTTGCATGCTGTGCAGACTGTAAATAATGATATTGTAAAAAAGTTCTATGTGTGTATATCTTTAAGAGAAAATTATTAAAAACTTTGGCTGATACCTTATTTATGTTTTCTTATTCCAAAGCCGTTGTAATTAGTGCAATATTAGTAAATGGTGCTAATGCCTCTAATTTCCAGTTTAAAAAGTAGTAAACATATTAGCACTCATTTAAGGATCTCTATAGTGGAACACCAAATACCTTTGATAGCGTCACTAAGTTATTCGTAGTATTACTTGAATTCTTCTCTATGAGAATTCAAATGCACCGTTATCGTTCTATTCTCTGCTGAATTATTAGGAATAGTAAGACGGAATTTAAGGCAAATTGTAGTTAAATAAAGCGTATGTTTCTATTAATATGTATAGGTACATGCTGCTTGGTCAAAAATGTCCTCATTTGTCCCTAGTGTTAGCTCAGCCTTAAAGTTCATGTTGGAACTTAAAAATATCAGACCTCCCTTAAAATCTGAGTCTTATGTAATCATAAAAAAGCAATGGTTGGTATTAGTAAAAGAGAAGGATCAAATGAACCGATTTGACCAGAATGAACCTAACTGCATTTAATGGTGCTTAATTTCCTCTTAACTTTTAATTTTTTAACATAAAACTAAACTACTTAACGCCTTATAACTTCCTGTGAACTCAGCCTAGATTATGAAGAAGATACGAAGTTTCAAGTTTCAATCATACTTAGTTTTCTTTTTGGAAAAAGAGAGATGAAAGAAAACTAGGCAATGTCTGATGTAGTTAAGTTGATTCCCGTTAAATCTGCACAATAAATGTTCGTTTTTTCACAAGAAAAGTTTGAGGCATTATTCTTTGGTTTCAAAAATTTGAAAACTAGAGTTTTAGCTTGAATTAGTACTCAAATTTCAGTTGAGTTAACTATGAGCCATTAAAAGCTCAATCCAGACGATCTAACTTTCCAACCGAAAAAAGCGAATGAATGCCAAAAAGTTTTATTCAATTACCGCGGTCGTGTAACATTGGTATTTGGGGTTTTCTATCAGTATTCCTGTTCAACTTTCCATCCAGGAACCTTCAACTTTTCATCCGATTGTTGTGTTTTTGAGTCATTATCACATATTTCAACTTTACTTTTAACGAGAGCAAAAGAAACCTTGAACGAATACTTGAGCATCTAGTTTGGGCCGAATGGTCTTCAGAGGTCACACACAGAAATGATGAAAACTTCACATTTTTTTTACATATTTTTGTATTTTTGGGAATTTTTAATTAAGTTTCACAATCATTGACAAAAGGTGTGAACTTAAAGGTACATAATTCTTAAAAAAAATACTGTTAAACTTACCAATACAACCTAAATACAGATAGCAACTTCATCCAATATTGCTCTTCAGTTATATTTAAGTAAAAATTGTACTTTTTAGTTTCTTTTCAAGAATTTTTTGTTTTTTTCAATTATTTTCCAGCTGTTTGAAAACTTTTTTCATTTAATTGGAAGCAGTTAGGACTAAAAATAATAATCACAGTTCAACTAGCTCTTATGAGTCTCTGTTCAAAATGTAACTGATCATAAAGTAAAAGACTTACATAAATTGAGAGTAAATTATAAAAATAAATTTAATAATAGCAATAAACTAGTTTCAACATTTAAACAGAGGAGAACAAAAATGGTCATTACACATGATGACCGAACTAAGATGGCAATTGATGGAAAAGTATGGTTGGAAAGGAGAATATGAGTGAGATATATTAAGCTTGTTTTGTGACAGTGGGTCTCAAACTGCTAAATCTTGCTTTCTTTGTAAGCATCTCAAAGAATATTTTCCGAAAAGGAATTGCTGACAAGAATGATGACTCTTCGTTTAAAGAGAAACTGAAAGACAAAAAGAGCATGCATTCATTTTTTTCGAAGCTAATATCTCTCAGCTGGAAATCAAATTACTTTCTTTCAGATGAAGATTGATTTTCAGTCGAATTTTTCATGAAAGTCATAAAAATTGTCAAGCCTTTACAACAGAGGACAAATTATCAAAGGAGTATTTTTAGCCATAAAATCGCACAAGAGATAAAAATAAACATAAATCTATGAAGGAAGTGTGTAAAGAACAATAATATTAAAAAAAAAATAGCACTAAAAGTGTGCTCTGTTTACTAAAAATAACTTTTAACAAGTACATTGAGGACAAAGTTAAGTTGGATTCTCTCTACTACAGCCTTATGTAAATAAAAATAAACACTTTTAAGAGAGAAAAATCAATAAAATTTGGTGATTGATCTGAAAACAGACATAACAATCAGGAAAAAATTTTCACAGGGATGATATTATGAGTTCTATGGGCTGAAATTTTTTTAGTTAGCGACACGGACATTTTTGACACAGAGAACTTATTTGATTGAAAAGTATTTTATAGAGAAAAAAAAGATTCACTTGTAAGGAAGCAGATGTTGGATGAGGAAATTTTGAATAATCACTAAACACAACAGACAAGTGTGGCTTCAAAAATAAGTATTGGACGATTGAGTTAATTCAAAAAATAATATAACTGCTTTTTGTTTGGCAGCACGAGATCATTTTATATGCGCATACAAAAGTGTACACACAGAAAAAGAATGAGTGCTTATGGTAAAGCACCCATGTATGCAGCATATCTTTATCTTTTATGACTGCGTCAAGAGGGGTGTCCTCAAGTGGGTATCCCCAACGTTGAGTATCGCAGATCTCAGTAGAGTCGTATAGGTTCTAAATGAACTTTTCAATATTCAATAAAAATAAACAATTAACATTTAATCCAGTACACACGATGCTCATGGAAATAATTGACACTATTTATGCCCACCAAAGTTAGATGTTGGGTGCCTTCAACCAAAGAGAACTGGAAGTTTATTTTTCCTCCATACTCCATGGAATTCGATTGATCTCGTTGAGGGCTTTTGAATGAGTTTTAATCTTAAGAGCACAATATACGTAGTACATTGAGATTACAGAGTTGAATTTTAACAATTTTCGGTCAGGACTTGGATACATTAAGATGGAAGGAATGCTAAGAACAATTCTAATTTGATTATACTTCCAATTGAATAATATTAGATAGACATTTAATAGACAAAATCCTCTTTACATAGTTGATGTTGAGTCTGTCCATTGAGAGTATAGTATTTCTAGGGATTTGAGACTGATATTTGCACAGGAATGTTGTTAAAATTTAGTTGATGCTGTTGGGCAAAAAGGTCTTCAAGGATTTACTTAGTTGAGGTTCTTTCTAAATTAAATTTGAATACTCAAGAAGTAGGTACTAATCTCACACTACACAAATCACCTAAATTAATTTCAGAAGGTTCTGCTAGATATACAGAAAAAAGCGGATTAGATACTCTCTATGGAACATAATTTTAATGAATAGACATTACTTTATAACATGGGTTGATTTAGCAGGAGTGTACGTCAAATTCAGAACAATGACAGAAAAAAAAAAATTTCTAAAAAATGACCAGTTGAGCAAAAAATTAAAATAAATTAATACTAGGAAAGTAAAGTATACCTAGAATTATTCAATAAAAAAGAATTAAAAATGCAACAATTATTATCAGTAAATCATTGACTTATTTCAATTAAGTAGGTTTCTACCCATGCGCTAGGACTTCAACCAAAAGAGGGAGCAGTCACTTTTGGGAAAAAGTTGGTCATTGCAAATTCATTTCAAAAGCTAAACAAAAATCTTATTTTGGTGATGCAATCAGAAAAAGCTGAACTTTTCAATATTTTCTTAGTCAATTCACTTAAAAAATCACACAAAATATGAAGCAACCTCTATTTAGAAGCATCTCTGTTTAAGAGGACTTAAATAGCTTGCAACCATTTTTCGTAGATGTACTTGAATATGCTTGATGGAGAAGATCAGTAATTTCTTCAACTTTGAAGGAACAGAAGCGTCACACATTCAGGGCTTTAGTAAAATAGCTCAAATTATGTTCTAAAATACTTATTCAAACGAACTAGATTTTTTGCACCTGCTTTGAATGGTACTCTGATGACACTTCGGAAACATTCTTTCATATTGAGAAGAAAATTAACTGTATACTTTTTGATGAGAAGTACATAGCAAGCAGTTACAAATCAACGTATCCACGAATACCCATTTAAACATTATTATTCACCAGAGAAAATGAGGTAGACACAATTTGTGAGGTATACAAAAAATAGGTGGGAGTTGAAAAACTTGCGCTTGAATGTCCTCATATTTCTTCTGCTTTATAAACAATGGGGGTGGGGTTGTTGAAAATTTGAACTTGAAATTGCAGAGCCAAAGAAACAACGTACTCTCAAAAAGTCTGCGGTGCTCCGTGCTTAAGGCAAATTTTTGAGACTAGGACAGCTTGATAGATTTCATTACTGACTGTGTATTGTTGTGTAAGTCAATTGTAAGAAGTCACTAATTCCTTAATCAAATTCACAAGTTACTTTCGAATCTTTGTAAAATCTGCCTACTTAGTAGCTTTGTTGTAAGTTGTAGAAACTCGCCTAGGTTGGTTGGATTTTTGATTAAGCGCACCGGGTTGAAGTGACATATGAAAGGCACGGCCTGTCCGTCCCAAAAATTTACTTTGTGAGATTCTTTTCCAGACGTTTTAGAGGTAAAATCGGCCAGTGATTGTTGTTGGTTACATCAAGCGCACGAGACTTGGAGATAAATCTTACATCACCCACAAGACTCAAGAATATCATAAATTGAGCTGACAAATATATCTTTATTAGCAACTGCTCCATTAAAAAATGGACAGTTGTTTGATAATGAAGGGTTTCCGAGAGATACTCTTGAGCTGGGAGAGTAATAAGCGCACCGTTAGCTTTCCCACAAGAATGCTTCGCTAAGAACTATATTCTAGTATTACTGATCTACTGACAGTGATCTAAACTGACATAAAAGATAGTGAGGGATAAAACACACGTAATGCAAGGTTAAAGTAAAGACAAATCAGAACACTTTTATGAAAATTAAATTGCTTGCAAAGTAAAACTTAAAAATAGGTTGTATATGAAAGGAGGAAAAAAGGAGCAGGAATCATTCTGCTCACATCAACTGGCCATGCTCAGTGCTGCTCTATGAGTGGAGGTTGGGCTTTGACCCAGTTAGTGAGAGCTGCCAAAGACAGAGCATCGAAGTGTGCTGGCACAGTTAACAGAGCATCCTCTGGCGAACGTTCGACAGAGCAGTTCTGTGGAAAATTAAAAAAAGCCATCCTATTAGCATTATGCTTTGAGATAACAGCATGGTCATGAAAGGCAGTCTTCAGATTGGTTAAACCTATAATTTTGATTTTCTAGTCTTCCACTCTTACTCTTTCAGACATCCTAATAGGTAAGTATACTTTAGAGACGAATTGGTCGGCTTCGGAATAGATAATTTCCTCAGTTTTAAGATTTTAAAAACCATGAGCACATCAATGTCCTTGAAAAATAATCCCTGCAGCGAAACGTAACTGACGACTGCATTGTGGCTATCCTATAAAAGTGTTGAGGAGGATCTCATACCCACTTTCGTTCAAAGTAAGAGTGGAATCTGCACAAGATGGAATATTTTTGTGTTTTGAGGAAAATTTAGCAAATCTAAACCTAAAAATTAATTGATGATAAATTATTAGCCAAAAACGAAGTATAAGGCATACAGTAGATGAAGCTCCGTTTGTTGCACTTCCTCCCTCACCCACCAACATCATTATCATTTAGTTGCGAGAGACTACCAGTATTTTTAAAGAAATGGACGCACACTTCAAAGGATGTTTCTTAATTTTAGAATGAACGTTTTCTCTGCACATCTTGGTGAAAAAATATGCAACTTACTTCCAGACTCAGTGTACAAATACTACAAATTTTTAAATGATACAACACGAATGAGAACAATTTTTTTGATAGCCCCCAGGAGGTAAGCATCATTTATCACAGCTCTTACTTAGAGTCAAATCAATTTATTGGAGGAAATGTACTTAAATTTAAAAAGGTCATACCTTTGGTTGATGGCGATAAGTATCGACACATTCCACGTCTAATTTGATTACTTCCATTTTACATTTGTAGCCAAAAGTTGTCAGTTTGATGATGGTGTGCAGTGGAACATTGATGTATGGCAGCTCCTCTGTAAATTAAAACAATTCAAACACTAATTAGTGAAGGTAGGAGATAAAAAGAGTTAAATAAGATGGAAAGTTAAATAGAAATACTTAAAGCAACATTTTTCATCAAATTTTTGTGAATTTAACACCATATGCGATTATTCATTGCAGGAAAGGTCTGGAAAAAACATTCACGAATCACCTTCTGCAGTTGCAAATTTTTGAAGCTGTTTACAATTCAAACTGAAAAAATTCATATGCATGCCAAAATTGAAATCATGTCATTTTAATGCCACAACATGAGTGTTAAGGTGGATCCGATAATGATATTCAAATTTTACGAAAGACTGCCACTCAAAGTTAAGAATGATCGAAAAACGCATTTTGAAAATTTTTTGAAGGTCTCAAAAGAGCTCCATACAACTATTTTTTTAAAACTTTGCATTGCTTCCAATAATTTGAGATCATATCAACCAATCAATGATCCGATATCATTAATTTTTGAATATGCTTACCAAATTTCTTGTTCAGGAAGTATCCAAGAATACATCGCAGAATTGCCTGATGACTTATCACTAGGATATTGTCCTCTTGCTCCAGCTCCAGGAGAACTGGTTCCAACCTGGACATGATATCCATGTAGGACTCTCCCCACGGATACCGGTATCGAAGCTTATCCTGATCTCTCCAGGCAAATTCTTGAGGGAACTTGTCTTGCATTTCTTCATAGCTCAATCCCTCACAAATGCCCTGCAGAAAAACAATGTTTTGAAATTACGATTATTGTCTTGGAAATAACCTACTTTGAGAATGCAGATAGTTTTGTCTTCGTAAGAAAATCATGATGGAAAATAGTTGAGATCCATAATGACACTAAAAGCATGTTTCATAAGATACTGAAGTGAGTGCATGAACAAAGAAATTTCTTTTCATTAACTAGTTAATCCTTTCTGTGAAATGAACCTGCATTTCAGCTCAAGTGAATTTTTCTTAATTGCTTAAGCATATACACTGAGAAAACTACAGAGTTGACAAAACATTCATGATATTTAAGGTCGAATATGATCAATAACAAGATTATTAATCAAATAAGAAAATTAAAGATTAGCTTAGGCATGAAGATATTTAGAAGTTACCACAAAGAATACCTTGTGGTATGAGCTGAAGTGCTAAGCTTAATAACATTAACGTGGTCAGAGAAAAAAAGAGAGAGGTAAAGAGAGAAATGAAAAAATTCTGTTGGTAATTACTTACAGCATCAAGTTCATTTAAGGCAGCCAAATGTTCTTTGGGAGCTTTGATGTTCTGAGCTGTCTGTTTGGTACGCTTCTTCTCACTTGTCCAAATGTGCAGACCAGATATTCCGGCATCATTGAAGTATCGAGCCAAAGATGCAGCATACTTGCGGCCTCGGCATGATAGATCTGCATCTCCGCCGACACGGCCTAAAACGTTGAATTCACTCTCTCCATGCTGAAAAGTAAGAAAAGAGAAGTTATTTAAATTGTACCCAGAAACGATATCAATATTATTGACCGTTTGATATGGGCTGCAGGTATTAGCCGAAGATGGAATAATGGGGAAATAATCTGATTCCCTAGTGGCACCGATTGTAAGCCGTAAAACTTACAGAACAAAATATTGTAAAAAACTCGTAAAAAAGTAGTAAAATAGGCCAAATAGAAGAATTTTTGTTTTTAAAAAAATTGAGGCAGATCAGCTACCTTTTCGCATTTTTTTGGTCCGTATTATGAAAAATGAAGCATTTTAAGTACAGTACGATTGACGAAAAAAACTTACTCTGGAGAAGTAGTATGTCCTTGGAGCTGGTCTGAAATTTGAAACGTAGCTCAAAATTTGATTCTGCAGAAAACCATTTAATCGGTGCACAGACATGTTGTCACCTACAAAGAGAGGAAAAAAGGGTTAAGGTGGGTATTAGAACTCCTTGAACATTTCAAAAAAAGGGGAAATATCTATCTTTTAATCATAGATAACTATTTCAAATTCATAGTCTCCACAAAAAATAGAATATTCCATCTTACTTTATTAAACCCAGGGGG